TCAGGAAACCTTACGTCCAGCCAGCCTCAGAACCATTAACATATATAACAATAGCAATAGCAAGAAAAATTGCATTTTACACTAATAAATAAATAATGAAATACTAATAAATAATAATGAAAACATTGGTATTAAATTTTATAGCTTTTATAGTGTAATAATTATAAATAATGTAATTATTTATAATTGGTCATTATTTAAATTAATATTCTTGACGCTCATTTTGACAAGTTTAAGAAAAACATAAGAGCTTACTGAATTACATACCAAGAACTATTGGACTAAGAATTCTGTTGCTAAGGGCAGTATAATAATGACAGGTTCAGATTTTTTTAACTCTGTCACTATCAAAACAGCACAAGCAAAAATCAATGAGTAGAATCAAGAATATCCAGCATTCATCATTCTAAACAGAAAACAATAAAACAAAACTTTACATCTACACCAGCCTAATAGATGAATTAGGAATGCAACAAAACAATTCTACTTAACCTTAAAGTCTTTGCCTAGGAGGCCTTTTACAAGATGGTAGCTGGATGTAGTTAACACCTGCCTAAAATCAGTATTATTAATGAGACACTAGCTCTAGCCCCAAGGCATTGGAGTTTTTATAAAGATATTATTTCTCTAAACATTTGCCTAGAAAATCAAGTTCTACAAAACAGCAGGAAATGGGGCAGGTAATACTGTGTTTTATAGGTAGCAGGTAGTACCAATTACCAGTAGGTGATTGTAATGATCCTGAACCTGACCTGAAAAGTTACTTCTGTAAGCAATACTTTAAAACATTGAACAGGAGAATTTGAAATTTGATTTAAAAATCATTACATCTAAAGGAGTAATGGAAATTAAGGTGACCGTATGTTATATAGTTGAAGTCACTGTTGGTAATTGAACTAATGCTACACTAGAGATTCAAACAGAACACAAACACATATAGTAACTTACTGGTGAGCAAACACAGCGCTAAAGGTTCAAACAGATCACAAATAAATATAATTACTTAGGTGAATGAACATAGCGCCAGAGGTTCAGATAGAACACAAACATAATTATAGTATAATTATATAACATGTTATATAGATAAAAAATACACTTCTAGCTGTTACTAAAAAAAAAACAATCTACAAGACAGCAGGACTTAAAATACGTTGCACTGGATTCCATGTTACCAGTAGCAATGTGATCGTGGTGATCATTTGCCTGACGTAACATAAAAGTTTTAGCAATGTTGCTACATATTAATTATTTTTAATAATAGACATCAACCGGAAAGACAAGCTGTTTATTAACACAAAACATAACAAAAGTAACATCACAACAATAACACGCAAATATAGAACGTAAGACATTTTTTTAAGTACAAAATACATAACGCTAAATATTACATTGTGGCCACAGTCCAGGAATATGTCTTGGAAAATTAAATTTTTTTAAAAATGTCCTGAAATGTCTTTTTTTATTTTTATTAATATTAGTTTTTATTTTTCTAAATCAAATTAAAAAATCACTAATAATATGGTTTGACTTTAATTTTAAATTCCAAGAAAGAATTATGTATGATTTATTATTTAAGCTTTTTATTTTTAATATATTGCTTAAATTACATAGAATTTTTTTTTCTTATATCTGAAATTGTGTAGTTGCAAGTCTTGAAAATCAATATTTAATTTTTCTAAAGTTTTGAATGACTTTAATTAATGCCTCAAGATTCACTTTTTTTAAATACATGGTTGCAAGTACCTGAATATAAAAATTGTATTATGGGGTTGTCCATAAAGGAGGAAGGGAGGATATATACAAGGCCGGCGCGATAGGGGTGTGTGTGTGTTGGGGGGGGGTGTGTTTTTTATGTATATAAATTACCCCCCCCCCTCCATCAATGATTTTTATTCGACAAATTTGACGCTTAGTCAGCAAATTTAACCCTTTCTGACTAGTTAGTCAGCAAATGTGGCCCCTTTTCAATAGGTTTTGTTGGCAAAAGTTGTAATGGCACCCCTCCAACTTGATACCTACTCACGCCGGCCCTGTATATATATGTATATATATAAAATGTAAAATGTAAAAAAAACCCGGAAAGCAAACAACACCAATGTACTATGTTTTTAATTATCTTAGCTTATATTTATTTTTTATATTCTTGTTTTTTTTTAAATATTTATTTAACATAAATACTCCAAGATTAAAATAAAAACAATATTTTACAACCTGAGATATAGTAAGAATATATCAAGATAATAATGTAAATAATGTATAGAAAACTTTACGATACATAAACAAATTTATTTGCAATTCAATAAATTTCAATTAAAATTTGAATGACGTACTTAAAATGCTAAGTATGACTTATATTATTCTTATTATATGCTTTTTTTTTAACAAACTTTATTTGTTAACCTATTCTTATCTACTTAATTAAAAACAGGTAAAAGTTTAAATAGTTAGAAATAAAATGAATTTTATTAAGTTATATATTGATTTTCTGTTTATGCTAACACATTAAAACGTTTAAAAATGCGTATTTAATAATAATTTATTAATATAATCTGAAATAGAAATTACAATATTTAATATATAAAACTAATTAATAGATATTTTAGAACTAATTTGCTGAATTAAAAAATCTTAAAAAAGTTCCTAAAAAATAGTTCCGAGTGGCAGATGTCTAAGAGGCACCAAAGAAAAAGAAGATACCTAAAAAACAAAAGGTCCATTAATGATGAATAGAAGTATTTAAAAAAATATGGGTTCTAATTGGGGTTGTCTGTCCCAATTAGCGTGAAGGCCCTGACAACCGGATATAAAAAATTCTATTTTAAACAATTAACTAAAAGTTGTTTGTATAATTTTCTTCATTTATGCATCAATACCTTTTTTCATTTATGCATTCCTAAAAATCAACATCTTTTACAATCAAATAATCTTTTGTAAGATGCCTTTTTGCACCTCTCAAAAGTGGAGTTGTATCTAGAGAAATAAACAGGAAAAATAATTTGTTAAAATTTAGTTTTAGCTAAAAATCTGACATTCAATCTATGAAAATGCTTAGAATAAAAATTTATGGAAACTCTTTTTGGACTCGGCCAAATCATATTTTGGAATGCCATCATCAAATTTAAAAAATTGTTATTTTGGAAAATTTTATTTCAAAAACCCACCTTTAGGCAAGTTTTGCGACATCGAATATGAAGCAGGCATGAAAGTCATGTTAAATGCACTTCCCCAGTGTTTTCTGATAAGACCTTACAGTCTGACTTATCATAGCTATGTATTATCTTATTGGTTTTACACGGTCTTATCACAGTCAATACAATGTTGGGGGCACCTGAAATAAAAATTTTAAAAAAATTGCTTGCAAAGTTGCGAAAAGAAAATGTTTTTTAAAATTACTTTTATTCATCTTAAGATTTGTATTCTATTTTATGATAACATCGACAACAATATCTATTGTTTCTTGTAATGGAATGTTTGTGAATAAACTTGTGATATCAAAAGATACAAGAAAGCTGTTAAATAAGTTCGCTTTGTTTACTTCTTTCGCCTTTGTTAAAGAAGTAAATGAAGCAAACCTATTTAATAGCTTTATTGTATCCAAATAAATAAAATGTTATGTAATCAATGTAAACAAAGATTACACGCAATTATAGGGGGAAAAGTTGGTTACCGTAAAATTAGTATTCACTTCATTAAGTCTCTAATTTTTTTTCCTCTAAAGATCACCTTCCTGTAGATTTTAAATCATTCGTCGTCTACAAATTTGTTTGTGCAGGATGTAAATCCTGTTATATTGGCAAAACCTCTCACCACCTAAAGACACAAGTGATTGAACACTACAGAAGGGATAAAAACTCTCTTATTTATAAACATCTTCACTCGAAAATGTTTCAAAAATTATAATGATGAATGCTTTTCGATTTTGGGTTGTGCTAAAAACAAAATTGAATTAAAAATTAAAGAAAGCACTCATATAGGATGGGAAAAACCCGATATGAATAAGCAAGTAAACCATGTTAAAATGACTCTTATAATTTAATATGATTTACTGGTTTCTTTTGTTTTATTTTACATTTGTAAAATAATTTTTAATAAATCTTTTTGTATATATAGGAAGTTTGTTTACAATTTTATGGCTTTTATTACGTTTATTTTTATAATTATATACTATATTTTATACTGTTTTTAACAAATATATCTTAACTGATGATGATTATATATAGTCAAAACATGTCATTTAACATGGAATTTAACTTTTAAAATTGTGTGGTCACCATGTATTAACAGACATTATTATGTGTTTTTGAAAAAAGGCTACACAACCTAGCTCAAAATGATTTCTTTGCACTAATCGCTGCCTTTTTACTCCTCTGCTAGTTTTTGATGTTTTGTAATTAATCTAAACCAAAACAGCATTTCAATTTTTATGTTTTATGTTTTTTTTTGTTAATTTATCAACGATTTTCTCTCCTAAATATATATTTGTAAGTTAATAATTTTACAGTGTCATTTATGTATACATTTATTTTTTTTGTTTTGGCAAAATAAACTTTGCCAAATATTTTGTCATGGAATCAGAACAGCAGAGTTTGACACCTGTAATGGTAATAATACTACTAATCAAAGCTGTATATTAGTCTGCTGGTAATGTTAAACCCTCTTCCACTGCAATGTGAGCAGCACAGTGAAAAAATTTACAAATTGATGAACTAAATTTTATGTCAGAAACTGTTTCATTACAGATTTTATTACTAAAGTCACTATCTGCTTCATTACAGTTTATTTGCCAGCGTAAATAGAAGAGCTAAAATCACCAAGTTTATACTGGTTTTACTATAAGTATAGTACAGGTTTACTGGAAAACATGAAGTTTAAGCAAAAAAAATTATAACAACTAAATTTTAAACAGGAAAATAAAACATATTAACAACAAACAAATAGAAACATCTTAATACATTTTTTTTAGATTGAAAGGAACTGCCGTATTTAATGATTGGAAAGATATGGTGTTTGAAGCATTTATAATAGCAAAGCAAGTTCCTGGTTATAAACATAATTTATCAAAACGTTTTATTCCAATAAGCAGAAATCAGTACATTAATCAAAGCAGTTTAGTAATTGATTCCCATATATGTGAGTTTCATTATTTATTAATTGTATAAATAGTCTCTAGCCAAATTACTAGATGCAATAAAAGATTATATGAAAATTTTTTAAAAATATATGCATTGCATATATAAAAAAATATGCAATGCATATTTTTTTATTATTCATCTACCAGTTTTTTAAAACAAATAGTAGGGGAAGTTGGGATACAATGGATCAAGGGGCACACCAAATAAGAGGCATTTTCGCAAAGACTTGATTTTTGTTCATCTTGACAAAGTAATCATTTTATGTGCTCATATATCATCCATCTTTATTTATAATTGTTACCACAAAATTTTTGACTACTAATTTTTGGTAGGTAATTTTTGTTTTTAGCAAACTAAAGTAAATTTTTTTACCTTCTTTATGTTTGAGCAAAAATACAGTTTTCAAGAAAAGTTATAAAATTATAATAGACTTACTATTTTTTTTTTACTAATTTATTTTTTACTAATTTTTTTTTTACTAATTTTTTTTTACTAATTTATTTTTTACTAATTTTTTTTTTACTAATTTATTTTTTACTAATTTTTTTTTTTAATAATTTATTTTTTACTAATTTTTTTTTAATAATTTTTACTAATCTAAAAAATCAATTCGAAAATATTTATTGCTTTAAAATAAAATAGTTTACAACTACAACAAATGAAAAAGCTTAATTGTTCTCTGGGCTACTACAACCTGGTCTCATCAGATTTCTAGTTAATAGAAGTTTGTAAATTTTACAATAGATCTAGAATACTAATTTAAAAAAATTAGAAAAAATATATTCTGGACAATTAGTCATAATAATTTGTGAGTTACGTAAATACAGTAAGTCTATTATAATATTTTAACTTTTTCAAAATACAAAAATTAAAATATTTCTTAAAATAAACTACTGTATTTTTACTCGAATATTAACACCCTGTATTTTTACTCGAATATTTAAGTAAAAATTAACATCTCAAAAAAAAAAAAAGTTCTAATTTTTTTCATTAAATATATATATATATATATATATATATATATATATATATATATATATATATATATATATATATATATATATATATATATATATATATATATATATATATATATATATATATATATATGAGTCACTGACACTAGAGCCAAGCCATTCAGTGTGATGAACATTAAAGTCACCGACAACAACAATATTGGCTGATGGATAAAGAATGAGGGCTTGGTCAATATAATCAGAAATAACATCAAGAAGAGTGCAGTCTTGAGATGAGGGAGAGCGATACAGAACAAAGAGAAAGGTGATAGAGTGAAGTGGTGCTAAACGAAAGCACATAAAAGAGTAGTCTGTGGATTCAAACCTAGTTTCCCGACAAATAGGTGAATTCTTACGAATGTAAATGCCTAGGCCAAGCATGTGACTATTGGAGTCTTTACAAATTAAAGGAAGATAACCATCAACACTAAGATCACAAGATGAGACAGCTGAACTCAAATTAGTCTCACAAAGAGCAAGTAGGTCTGGTGAACTTTGCAAGAGATAAGACTCAACAGAAGAAAAGTTACTTCGATGACCACGAATATTGGTGAATGATAGGTTTAGCGAACTTGGTGATGACTGTGGTTTTTTGTGTTTTATAGTTTTTGTTACTTTATTCATTTTTAAATTTGTTAAAGAACTTGACTCGAAACATAGATAGTACTCAGTACACTATTTTATAGCCCAAGCTATTGCCTCATTTCCACTAATAAACCCTAAGCCGTAACAAAGGGCTCCAATGTGGCCTTCGCAATGCACACCAAAAGTACAAACAGGGACACCATCCATGCGCAATATGGCACTGTTAGTACTCTGATATTTTTTAGCTGTTGATGGAATCAGCCTCTCTGAAAGCTACCACAGAGTTCGGGAAACCTGACTACCAGCCGGCCTCAAAACCATAAAACTGAGTTTTAGAGCTGTACCCTCATTTGGAGATAATAGAATGAGTTGCCTAGTCATAAAAACAGAGACACAAGCAAAACCCATGCATCGAGTCAAGAAGATCCAGCGTTCAACATCCTAAACTGGAAACAATGTATTAAAAATACATCTGCACTAGCCTAATAGATGGAGAAGGGGTGCGAGGCTGGTCAACAGAATACAATCTGTTTACCCCTTAAGTCTTTGCCTAGGAGGCCTTCTAAAAGACAGCAGCTGGATGCATTTAACATCTGCCCAAGATGAGTGTTTTTATCGAGACACCATCTCTAGCCTTTACTCAACCAAGAGCCCCAAGGCAGGGGGTATTTTATGTCGGAGTTTGCATCTCCTAGCCTTTGCCTAAAAAGGCATATCCTTTAAGGCAGCAGGACATAAAGCAGATTGTACTGGGTTACATGTTACCAGTAGCAGGATAAACCTGACCTGACCATTCCTGTCCTAGCCTGTTAGGGTTTTACACATCATTCCTGTCCTAGCCTGTTACACATCATTATTGTCCTAGACACATCATTTCTATCCTAGCCTGTTAGGGTTTTATTGCCCTACACCCTAAAGTCTTTAAGCATGCCAGGGTTACATACTTAACTCTTCAAGCCTGTCAAAGTTATCAGAAAAAAAATCAGTTACTAAACGTCAAATTAGACTAAAATCTGAATATGCTATTTTAAATAATAAAGGATAATAATAAAAATCCAATAATTATTAATTCAAAAAAACAATACTTAAAAAAATAATTATGAAAGCGAAATCAAATATTTTTAATTTTTTAAAATAAAGAATTTTTCAAAAACTAAACAAAAATAAACGGTCAGAAAGACCAAACTATACAATTAATACAATTAATTTTTGTTATCTTGAACTTTTGTTATCATGAACTATTTCATTTGATCTTTTGAAATGGTCCAACCATGGCAGTGTAAAAACCCATATAAAACATAAATAACAGCCTAATAACTATGACTCAACTGTATATAGATCTGAAGATTAGATCGTCATCTGGCATATTATAGCAGTTTTATTGTAGCATTATCTGACAAAATAATGCTATAATAAATAAATTGTAATAAAATATTGTCAAAAATAAATCATAATAAAAGTAGCAGTAAGAAACTGTAAAACAGGTTATTAGTTACAACATTCAGGGAATATTGGAGGAAATGTTATAAATAGTCCGGCAATACAGAAATCGGCCTCAAGTGGGTATGCAGAACTTGATAATCAAATACTTTTTTTTAAAAATAAGCAATTGCTTAGAGCGCCTAAAAAGAAGAGAAATTCCTTTATATTATTATATATTATTAGTATTAAATGCAGGCTAAACTAATTGATTACATAAACATATATCATCAAGAATGATAAATGCATTTCAAACAATTGTTTTTAGAAAAAACAATACTGATTGTTTATTACAAAATAAAGAGTTTATATAGAATTAAATAAACAAAAATTTTAAAATTCAAAAAGTTCTTCAATATTATTAGTACTATATTGCATAAATAAATATGATAAATCTGGAATAAAAAATGTAACGAATAAGTAAATACAAAAAAAAAATATCGCATATGAAAAATGGAAATCAATATACCTGATAGATAATAGCTGCTGTGATATCGTAGTAGTATTTGTTGAAAATCATTATTTCATGTTAGCTTTATAAGAATAATTCATATTGCGCTAAAGACAAAAAATCAAATTGAGTTGAGAAACTAATGGTATATATGGAAAAAAGATTTATCTTCTAGTGAAAGCAGTAAGTTACAATAATGAAACTACCTATTGAACATTTTTAACAATAGACAAACACGAAGGTAAGCTAAATGTCTATCAACACAAAACATTACAAAAAAACAACATCACAACAATTATAATAAAATAACTTTAAATAATAAATAAAGTTTACTATAGTTTTAATGAATTTCCTAATAAAAGCTACGACTTTCATATTATTTGTTTAAGCTTTTAGACAAATAATAAGTTTTAAAACTTTTTTCCATGTTAACTTTTGTGTGTACATATACAATATGTAACTACTTTCACTGAAACATTTTTACTTTTTTGTTATTATAATGGTTTATATTTAATTTTCAACTTTATTATTGAATGAAAAAAATTACCTTAACTAGATCTTATCTTAATTCTATAGTTAAGTAGCCTAAAATAATTATATTTTTACGCTTGTTGCGCTCTTGTCAGTTGAGACTTTTTAAACATAATGAATACTTATTGGATTAATAAATGAAAAAATATTGCTGCCCCATGCCAAACCCTCTGTCAATGTAGCAGCATACTCTCTTTTAGCAGCAGGCTATAAGTTAGTCAATGTATGTACTGAAGCCAATAAATATTCTTTAACTTTAAAAAGTTTCTACTGATTAGAGCACAACAAGCAAAAAAATAAAATTATTTTAAACAGTAAATAAAAAATAATATAAAAGAACTTATTTAAAAATAAATAAGAGAACTTATTTAAATATTTTTGTGATAAATTTGAACTTAAAAAAAAATTGGAAAAATTTAAGCTAATTTTAACTCTTTATAACTATAAATTTAATTAGGACGTCCGTAATTCCCAGAGGCATAACGAGATGCATTACTGAAAGTTAAATGCTGATCTAGTTACAGTAACAATATAAGATTTAAAACACAGTGCAAGGGAGAAAGAAAGTTTTATTTAAATTGTAAACATTTTGAATAGAGTTTTTAGTTGATCATAATTTTTATAATTAATAATTATTAAAGGTTTTCTAGTTGATTATTTTTGTTTCCTGAAAGTAGTTTTATAAGTAAAAACTTTTTATTGCTAACATAAAAACCAAATTAAATTTAAACACAATTAAATTTAATTTATTTTACTTCTATTTTTTTTTTTTTTTCAAATAAATAGTATAACCATATACATTAAGAAATGTAATTTGATTTATTAAACCAAGTTTTTTTTCTCACATTTTATTACAAAATAATTTGAAACAAAAAAGTTAAATGAAAGCATCAACTTAAAAACCGTTTGAATTAAAAAAGTTATAACCGGCGATAACTAAGTTTTGGCGCAAACTTAAACTGAAATTTAACAATGTTAGAAATTTAATTTTAGATCTATTATATACATTATAATATTGTCAATTAAGTCTGTTATAAAAAAATAATTAGATCTCCTTATTTTAACAAGCCTTTTCTTGACTGATAAAGTATGGTTTTATACAATCTTTAAGTCCTTATTGCCGAGGCATCTATTTATCTTTTTTTCTAACTCAACAAGATTTTTTGCTGTCCAGTTGTTCTTGTAAACCTCCATTTTCAAGTTTCCCCAATTTCTATTGGACAAGCTTCCGACAAATTTGCTGGGTTCATGACTTTTGGGACAAAAGGTCCCAAAATTCATGAACCCATCCAAATTTTTCTACCAAATCTGGTCTACCAAAAATTCAGTTACCTTAGAAATGTAATGAGTGGACGCTAAGTCAGGTCAAATTACATAACCACCAGCACTATAATTTTTTTTAATAAAGGAAAGGAGTTTCTTATTTAGAATTTCACAATAAGTGTCTTGTTAATCACATTTCCAGATTTTTGAAAAAAGGTTATGTCAATCCTTTAGGTGATATAGCAAGCCATACAAGCAACTTTTGGGAATATTTATTTTTGAAACTGTATTTAACATTATCTGGTGTCTTATTAAAGTCATCGGTGTAGAAAGCGTTATTGCCTGGCTGATCAGCGTGGCTCAAAGTAAAGTACGATTCATCATCGATTAAAAAATCACAATTTACATAATGCTGTAAAAGTTGTCTGCATTTCGGTCTAGCTACCTTTTTTTGTTGTTCAGTTTGTACTTGATGTAAGTACGCATTTTTAACAACTTGTTAACATATGGTTGAGAGCATCCAAATTTTTTCTAGCAGCTGCTCTTTTAAAACGCCCTGATCTATGATTGAACATATTTTTTAGTTTTATGTTACTTTTGGTTACTATTTTTACTGGATGACCATTGACAATTTTTTTTTTTTTTTAATGTACCGGTTTCTTTTACTTGCTTGATTCAATGATATATAATACGTTTTGATAAAACGCTTTGCAATTTCATTTGATTCTATTTCAGGATTCTGAACAATGAATTTGTACTATTTATATTTTATAGTCTCGTACTTTGCTAATTTGTAATTTTGTAAGTTACTAACAATGTTTGTGTAGTAATTAAATTATACGTACTTTTGTATTTGTGCCAAAACTTAGTTATCACCTGTTGCTTAATTTTTTAGTTGTAAAAATGTGGTCTCTAATGAGTGATCTGAAAAAAAACTTTTACTCATGATCAGACTTTTTTTGAGTTAATTTAAACGTTTAGACGTTTATTTAGAAGAAAATATTTAAATTATATTTGATTTAAATATTTTTTGCTAAATTTTGTCCCAATGAAATAATATTAGTTAATAAACCAAGAAAATGAATAGTTTTCTTTTTCTTTTAGTGTTTTGTATTTATTAAATAGAAATAAATTTGGAATCATCTTTTGATGAATTTGGTACAGCTTTTAAAATTCTGAAATCTAATAAAGAAATAAGTCCTGATGATATCAGTAGAAACATTAATGATATGAAATAATAAAAAAAATACTCTTTTTAAAGTATTAGTATCATATACTCATTTTAATCTATTACCTTGATCAAAAATATTAGAAATGACATGTCCTCAAATGTCTGGATCATTACTTTTTCTCATTTACATAAAAGCCTATCTGATATTCAAGTTAGAAGATTTTAGTCAAATTAGAATTTATTAAAATTAGAGGCTATTTTTATTTGCAGTGGTAAATAAAACCAATTTTAAGTTTAAGAAGCACTCCATTTATATGAATGCGCAAAAAAAAAATTTAAAATTAAGGCATTTTATAGGACTATAGATATTGCCAATGCACAAAAAAGGAATAAATCTTTTAAATCTTTTTAATTTTATGAAGCCTCAAATTTTAATGAAATTATCGGAAGATGATCTAATTGAATCAGTTAAATTATTGTTACCATAAAATGGGTGACTTTGGCCCAAGCTGAATTTTTAGTTTCAAAATGGTTTATATTGAGTACCCTAAATTTATTAGTTATTTAGGCTGACTAATTTATAATTTTTGAAGAAATTCTTATAAATAGCGCTTTGGTACAAACACCTAAAAAAATTATTATTAGTCATGCAAGTTTTTACATTCATAGCAGTACCTAGTAAAGGTATTTTACTTAAATCTGTACTAAATTATTTTCAATTATCAGTGTTTGATTCTAATTTGTTTTGGAAGCTTAAAGGTGTTTAAACTTTTTGCAACTGGGGCTCAAAAAAAATGGGTTGCACGCAAGGTGACTTTAGCCCACCATTTAATGTGCAAGGAAAAAAACTGGATTAATAAAAGTTTTTATAGCATGAAGGGACAGATGCAGTTAAAGGATGCAACTTGTTGAATAAGAAGCCAAGCAAGAATGAGTTTTGGTTTATCATGATAAAGATGATAAACCAAAACTCATTCTTGCTTATTTCAAGAATGAGTTTTGGTTATTAAGTGCAATCTTACAACAATGGGAGAATGGCTCAGCTTGGCAGATAAAGCAGGTCAAATTACATTTACAATGTGCTTTTAGACTTTGTCTAAGAGTAAGAGGGTTGTTATTTGTCAATAAAGGAATGCCAATGATACTACATTATTTTTTGCAGTAAATAAATGAGTTTTGTTGTCTATCAAAAATTGTGGATTTCATGTTCAGAATTTGAATCCACAAGCTATTGCAAGCTCTAGGCTGTTACAGAAGAGAGATCAGATTAAAAATTGGCTGCTTGATCTAAGCAATCAAAAAGTGAAGACTTTTTGTCACAACAAGAGAATAAAGTTGAGTCCTCAATAATTAGAGCCCCTTTAAATGTACAATTTTCATGAAGATTATTATTGTAGATAGAACCTTGTGTTACCCTTATAATTACTTAAAATGAAGAGGAGTGGCCTTACTTTAATACTGCACTTAAAAAGATTTAATCATCTTACAAACTTTATATAAAGAAACTAACAATAACAACATAACAACAGAGTGAAGACTAATCGTAAGAGGTCAAATTGTTTTCTAGAGTTTTTCAAAATTAGAAAACTCTTATTTTAGTCTTAAGAAAGAGTTCTGGAGAACACTTTCTAAAGACAATGATGGAAATCTTTTCTAAAACACAAGCTGTAGAAGTGTTTAATTGAGAATTAACTTTAACATTGGAAGCCAGAGTGATTCGGGTGTTTATCAATAAGTTAATCTGTTTAATTGGTACGACAGGAAGAATATGGCCATTAGATTCAAGAGTCAAGTTAATAAAAAAAAAAGTTATGTCCAGTTAATAACCGAAGGCAAATTACATCACGTAGTTATTTAAAAAAGCAATTTCTTTTTAATTCTTTTTATTTTCCTGAAGAAAAAATGAGGTAGCTAAAGTAAAAAGAGAATTATTTATATACTACTGCATTTAAAACTAATTATTTTTTCTATTTTTCATAAAAAATCAAAAGAAAAATTGAAGATAAAAATAATTTTTGGGCGCTTTTTTTGGGCGCTTATACCGGTAAAACGGTACTAAAATACGTCTGTAAAATACATCTGGGTTCTTCACTGATATATATATATATATATATATATATATATATATATATATATATATATATATATATATATATATATATATATATATATATATATATATATATATATATATATATATATATATATATATATATATATATATATATATATATATATATCCAATTATGTTTATATTTATTATTTATTGAAATAATATTGCATTAGATGATGATAGCTACGAACCTAAAGAAGAGGAAGAACAAGAAAACAGAGAAGAAAATGTTGAGATACCACACGAGATTGATGAATCTTCATTTGAAAGTGGCAGTGAAAGTAATTCAAAAGATCTTTTAAGTAGAAACTTAAACCAAAAGCGAGCCATGATGGCTAATAAACAAATGGGTTTGGCTTTTATTATTAAGGATATAAAATTTGACGAAATTGCTGCATTATTTTTTGATGGACAATCATCATTTACAAACTGGATTAGTCTTGATATTGGTAAATAGTTCAATTTTTATTTTGAAATTTTTTTGTTTAAATAGTTTTTTTAGTTGAATTTTTTTTTAATTTTAATTGAATTTGAAGTTTAATGATAAACTTTTCCTAAATGCCATATTTTAAAATAACAACATTTTAATTTAGCAATATTATTTACCTATATAAATTAAAAACAATAATGATAATAGTAATATTAACAATAACAACAATAATAATAACAATTATAACAATAATAATAATAATAATAATAATAATAATAATAATAATAATAATAATAATAATAATAATAATAATAATAATAATTAGGTATAAAAGTGACATCATTAACAATAGTGATGAAGTAATTCAGAAGCACTTAAAAAGTTTGCTATTACTTCAAGGAATGCAAAAATTTTCACAAAGTAGTTGATTTATTTGTGTTCATAAACAAAGGATTCCGAATTTGAGGAGCAGTAAAGAGAAAGGTTTTGCACCTAAGGAAGTTCTTGGTAGGCATCATGTAAGTTGGCAAATGTCTGACAAACTTATGTTTGGAATTTATGTTATATCTGGACTTTATGTTATGTCTGTAGTTCTGGTTTTTAGGAGTTTGAATATATATGCAGGAGATATGGTTGTTGGCATTTCAAATAAAAAGGAGAAGGAGAGATGGTACGAGATAAGCTATTTTGAGTAAATAAAAGTTTTTTAAGGTTTTTTTTTGTAAGAGCCTAATAAATGACTGTTACAATAGTCAAGTTGAGAATTAACAATGCTACAATCAATTGTGATTGGTGCTTCTTTGGTGAAACATAGACGAATGTGGAGAAGTACATAAATATGGTAGTTGCAAGATTTAATAATGTTGTTTACATGCCGGTCCAAAAAGAGTTTTGAATCTAGGGTGACACCTAGGATTCTTACTAAATTTTGGGTTATGTTGTTTCAGAGAATGTATTTTTGGAATTATTTTTAAATTTGCCAGTTCGTTTCTTAAATTTAAATAAGATGGCTTTTGTTTTGAAAACTATACAACTGAAATTTTCAAAAAGATTTCAAGAGATAGAATTGCAGTGTCTGCTACTAGTCCTGAATTTCAACACAAGGCTGATCCTCTCTTAGAAATTGTTCCAATTGCAACAGGTAAAGCACCTGATTAGGCTTTAGTAGTTCAAGTTTATTAGAATATTTTTAAGTTTCAGACCAAGTTTGTGTGTTAATATTCAAACCTTTATTGTGGCTATTATGTAGGCACCACATACATAAAATACATATTAAAAATATTTACAAAGAAATAACTGAAGATAACACTAACTGTAAATAAAAGGAATGTGTACCTAGTAGTAAATGTTTTAATACATTTGTCCAACATTTGTCTTGATTGTACAGTAAATTAAGTATATAAATCAAAGCATCTGCCTACATTAAATATTGAATAAAAGATGTTTTAGTTTGCTAGTTGCTATAACTTATGACTTGTAAAGTTTCTTTTATTTTACATTTTGAGAATTAATTACAGATTTAAATAAATAAAAAAGAGTTAACAATAAAATAAAAATTTATAACGGATGTGTGAGGCTTTCTTCAATTACGACTAAAAGTAAAAAATAATAGCTAGCCTAGACTTCTGTCTAAGCTCTTTGAATTATTTTAATTTGTTAGTTACTTGTTTATTGATACTATCAACCACTGAATATGAACACATGATAAAACTAATGAATATGAATTAAAACAGCAGCTACTTAAATGTATTCTAAAATAGATTTTACATTTCACGGATCATTTACAAGTTCTAATTAAAAGTTACACCTTAGTCAAAGAAAAACCGAAAACAAAAATTTATTTGCTTAAAACAAAGATTATATACAATAATAATAATAATAATAAATAAAAAGTTAGATATTTTAAAAAAAAAATATATAATATATTTAAACAACTATATAATAAAGTATAACAACAACAATTGTTTAAAATATAACAAAAGATATTTATTTTAATAGTAATTCAGTATAATATTCAGCCAGGAGGTGAGCAATTTTTGACACCTTTCCTGTTTCTGGAACCAATGGTAAAACTAAGGTTAGAGCAATGGTAAAACTAAGGTTAGAGCAATGGTAAAACTAAGGTTAGAGCAATGGTAAAACTAAGGTTAGAGCAATGGTAAAACTAAGGTTAGAGCTTTGATAAATTAAAAGTCTGGAGAAGTGCAGATTTTTTAATTTTGCAGGCAAGATTAGAATTTAGGATACTTGATTTAGAATTAAGTTTCTAGCTTCTTGTATTTAGGTTATTTGTTTTTGATTAAACCAATATTATAAATTATCAGTATAATATTTTGAAGAGTTATAATAGTATGTCTATCAGGGAATTAAGTTGGGATTGTAATTGCAAATTACTTTTTGCACTTTCGTGATTATTATCAATAATATTTCTTTTTTTTTCTTTTCTAATTTATAACTTTTTCTTTGGCAATTCTTAAATGTGTTGAATTTTTTTGTCTTGGATTTTTACTAGGGGTCATCCATGAAGTTTGTCATGCTAAATTTAACTTTTAAATTGATAATCATTTGTTCTCTTGGGATTTTCATTCAACATAAAGCGCTTTTGAATTTTTATTACTTTAAATCTTTGTGGCCAATAATGTCCTACTACTGTTTTAAAAATAAATAATATCCTAATACTGTTTACTACTGCCAATCATATTCTACTACTGTTTTAAAAATAGATAATATCCTAATACTGTTTACTACTGCCAATCATATCCTACTACTGTTTTAAAAATAAAATTAATGTGATTTATTTAATGGATAAACTAAATCAAAACAACCGTTAAATAAATTTAGTTTTAAGTCTAAACCAAAACAGTCAGTTATTATTGTTAAGTTACTCATCTATTAAATATACTTAACATGGTCACTTGCAAAAGTTACCCATAAAATTATTCTATTTGCATCTTGTATGTTGTAATAAACACATAATAAACATTCTATTGCAAACATTTGTCATGTGAAATAAAACTAAATCATAAAAAATTTAAAATTAAAAAAATTAATATTTCTAATTCTATTCAATATCTTTATTTATTTTTTTTCAAAAAACATAATTAGCATTTTTAAAATTTAAACATATTTAGAAATATAATTGGACTAATTAGACCAAATTTTTTCTCTCATTTAATTATATTGCAAAACAATTTGAATTAAAAAATTGAAAGAAAACATCAACTTGAATGAAAACCAATTAAATGAAAAAATTAGTTATAAATTTATTATAAAAATCAACTGAAAATATTTTAGTTTTTTTTTAAGGGTCACTTACACAGAAACCTGGTTAAAGAAGTGAAACCGGAAAAAAATACTTATACTAAAATAATTTAAAAAAATTAAGAAAATGATAAAAAGTGATATTAATGATAAAAAATTAAAATACAGTTTTTTTTTTAAATTTGTTTAAATTTATTTTATTTCAAATAAAAAAATGAAGATTAATTTATTTGAAACAATTTTTTTTTAAATTATTTTCTTCTTTTTCTCTAATATTTTTATTATTATTATTATTTTTATACAAATTATATTATTGTTATTACTGTTATTATTATAACTATTTTATGTTCTTATTTAAATTCTTTTGACATTTTTGTTATTTTTCGAACTCAATTGTTTCTTTTGTTACAGTTTGTTATTTTCTTTTGTCTTTCAGTATTAACTATTTCAAACACAGAGTCCAAAGAATTTACTTTAAAAGAGGTTAATGAGGACCTCAAAACAGTAGAAAGAGGTATGTATTCAACTCTTGAAAGTTTTAAATTACAAATATAAATAACAATAATAGGTTAATTAAATGCTGAGTTTACTTATGGTATATAGTTTACCATTACAATATATAGGTTGATTTAATTACTATATTTAATCCTGATAATTGATGACACTTAAAGTGGTTAGTAAAGCTAGATTTTAAGTTAGGGTTACAATTAGGTAATTACTTTTTTATCCAAAGAGTTTTTTTTTTTTTTTTTTGTGTTGCAAATTATATATTCTATTATGTTCTTATCTTTAACTCTGTTAAAAAAATTTAGTAAATAGTGTTTGATTAATTTTATTAACAGCAGACTGAACCCATTTATTCTTTACAATGGGTTTATCTTCTTAATAATATACTTATTTTATAAAATCATCCTTCCTAAGCTAAAACACTTTTTAATAAAAAATATCATTCAAGTGGTTGTGTTATGCTAAGACACTAAGCTAATTTTTTTTTTTTTTAATTTGTTTGTTATTGTTGTTTTTCATAAAGACTAGCAATCTGGTCATGATTATTTCATGGTAAGATTATTTCCCTTTTAATACCATTTTTTTTTTAAATGATTATTATTACTGCATTATATCTCAAGTTGGTATTTAAAGCTAAAAGCTATATCATATTACATCTCAAATCAATATTTAAAGCTAAAAACTATATGCTTTTACATCTCAAGTTGAGACTTGAAGCTAAAAGCTAATAAAAAATCTAAATGGGTTAGTTTTAAATAGTTTTTAATAAAATAAGAAATTGTTAATTCAGTGATATTAAAGGGTATTTAAATCTGCTGGTGTAACATAATTATTATATCTGATTTCTTTTTCCAAAATTAGATCAATAAAAGATTAAACACTTTTTGTGATTATGGGCTACCACGTAACCACAAAAATTGTTATGTGTTAGTCTAAAAATTGTTACGTTTCTATGATGAAAATAATGTACATTTCTTTTGGCATAATATAAAAAGTAATAAGTAATATTTTTAATAAAGTTGTAATAATTATAATTTTATTAATTATATAATAGTTTTTGGGCATTTTATTAACTTTTTTTAAATATTCATAAAAATTGTTTGCTTGTTTTTCATTAACATTTTTTGATTTTTTCAAGTTTAATGCTCTAAGTTTAACTATTAACTGTTGATATTTATTAAGTTTAACTATTAATTAAATAGATAAGTATTAACTGTTGATAAATAATAATTAAAAGAATAAACATCAGATTTTGAACTACTTTTAATTTTTCTTATAATTCAGGAATATATTTATTTAGGAATATATTTATTCAGGAATATATTTGTTCGAGAATATATTTATTGAGGAATATATTTATTTAGGAATATATTTATTTAGGAATATATTTGATTGGAAAGATGAGATTACCTAACAATTGCTTGGATAATGAACTTTGTGATTTTGTAAAACAAAAACTACCTCCTATGAGCACATTGTTTGTTGCTGCAGGATATAAAGATCATTTTTTCTTTCGAGCAGGATATGATGGCATTATAAATCTAACTGAAAACTTAGATTTAAATTCAATATACTTAGGTGTAAGCATTCAAATGGGAATAATTGAGATTTCATTAAATGGAAAACTAACATTAAGAATGAAAAAAAATTTGCTAACGTTTGAAGGTAATGAAAATATTTTAGTCTATGTATGTGTATATATATGTATATATATATATATATATATATATATATATATATATATATATATATATATATATATATATATATATATATATATATATATATATATATTTAATAGTAGAATAATGTTTTAATTTACTTTATAAAACTAAGAAATGAATTTAAGAAATCATAAAACATTTTCTTTTTTTTATTTCAAATAAATGTAATTGCAATAATAATATTTTTTCTATCAAATATTTAATGTTTGTTTGACATAATTGAAGGATAATCAATATAAATAATTTTTCAGGTTTTTTCAAGCTTTATTTTCAAGTTGTTTAACAAATTCAAAAATTTCTTTCTCATGAATTTCAAATAATTAGATTTTATCAATAAAAATCAATGAGAAATGAGAAGGAATGAGAAGAAGAAAAAGAGATAAAAATTATTACTATTTATTTATTTTATTATTAATTTAACTTTTAGTTTCGGTAGGAATCGATATCACTGGTGGCCTTAGAGTCAGCGGGAAAATGATCGGTATGTGGTCCGAACCTTTTTCAACACCATATATTGCTGTTGGTAATGCAGAAGTTAGCATTACAATACAATTACCATTTTTAATACGAAGTTTTGGTAAGTTTGTGCATCAAAAAAAATTTTTTTTTTAATATTTTTAAAGTATTAAGTAATCTACTACATACACATTACTAACATACAGTAAAGCAACCATAAAATTTCAATGTTTTATTTTAAGAACTCTCTGGAGAGGTTCATCTTGGTAAGTCAGGAAAAAAAATTGTTGCTAAGGCTGGAGTAGGAATAGATATGACTGGAAGAGATAATTACTTCTATGGAGATATCAATGAACTTTCACTTGGTGCATTTTGTAAAGCATTTGACTACAATTTAAATCTTCCCAAAGTGATTTTAGATTCTGGTTTTAAAGAACTTTCAATTGGATATTCTTTTCTTGGTAAAAATAAAATAAATAACTTTAAGAAAATTAATAGTTTTAAAAGTTTTGAATTGTTTAAAAAAATAAATACCAGTATATATAGTATACTGAATATATATATATATATATATATATATATATATATATATATATATATATATATATATATATATATATATATATATATATATATATATATATATATATATATATATATATATATATATATATATATGTATATATATATATATATATATCAGAATACTGATGGAGCGAAATTAAAAAAAAAGTTTTGATAAAGTATTACTAAAGATTACAAAGTCCTTTAGAAAATTGAAAGGCACATGACCCCCAGCCCATGTGATATATATATATATATATATATATATATATATATATATATATATATATATATATATATGTATATTCTTAATGTTTCAAATCTTTTTTTCATTATACTACTTTTTTTTTTAGAAAAAATGAATTTTCACGTGCATCATTAATTGCATCATAAATCTAAAAATGATTTTTCATGCGCATTCTAATAATGTTTTTTATAAATTATTAATTAAATATTATGTTAAAATAAAAATTTTACTTATAAAAAACAAAAAAGATTCAGTGTTATTAATGATTCAACTGCCCATTCATATGATTAAAAATGCGACTATAAGGTTTAAAAAATGATGAATTTAAATTTAAAATTGAATGAAAATGTTATTTTAAAACTCATTTTAAATTGAGAAGAAATATACGCTTCAAAATACGCTTCAAAATGCCACAACAATTTAAATAAAAACAGTACAGTCGGACTTTGAAATATTAAATGGCGTTTTTGCTTCTTTTTATTTAAAAAAAATCAAAATTATTTAGCGCCCCATAGTGTACTCGTTGTTAAATGAAGCGTATAGTATTTTAAATAATTCAAAAAAAATTTCAAGTTTTAAATAATCGCAAGGAATAAAATCTTTATAGATCAAAATATGATTTTATTAATAAATACACTTTTATAAGTAACAAAACGTCTGGTTGTCCTGTTGGGGTACTGACAGGGTTTTTTTTTTTTAACTTTAGTCGCCCTTGGAGAAAACAAGTGCCACCGGATGACCATAAGGGTACACCCCTATATATATATATATATATATATATATATATATATATATATATATATATATATATATATATATATATATATATATATATATATACAATAGCGGCATTAAGTAAGTATACACCATTGAAGTATACACCATTTTCTTCTTAAAGAAAAGCTTCATAAATTAGAATGCAATTTATTGGTTTCAAAGAAAAACAAAAAAGCATATTATACAGATCTGCAAAAACTTATTTTTGATGCTGTGGCTAACCAAGTATAAAGTAAGTATACACCATTGTATACTTACTTTATGCCGCTATAGTATATATATATATATATATATATATATATATATATATATATATATATATATATATATATATATATATGTATATATATATTTGTTTTGTTTTGTCAGAAAAGAAGTTGGCAAACAGATTCCTTAAAGCTGGGTTTCATCTTGAAGGTACTCTAAATATTCTGGGTTTAATTGCAAAAACTAAAGTAGAGGTTGAAACAAAAAAACTTTTAATTGATTGTGAAATATTACCTATTGGAACATCAAGTAGTTACTTTGAGTTAACAAGGTCATTGACAGACAACTTTAATGGACCAAAAATTTTCATAAACATATCTCCAAAATCAGTAAGTCTTTAACTTTATACAGTTTAACAAAATAAAAGGAATTTTTATCAATAAAATTTAAAAAAATCATTTATAGCCTTTTCAGGAAGCCTTGAAAATATAGGTTTTCTAAACCACGACCCTTTTCATTTTGATGTTTTTTAATTTAATGTCACAATTTTTTAGCGATCGTATATTCTTTACAATCTTTTGTTTGTTTTTTCCATCTAAATATTATTTAATAAAGAGACCTCGTTATTGCTAAAATTAATATTTATGAAATAGCACAATTTGCAAAAAAAAATAAAGTTTTTTTTTTCTTTATACTCAAATAATGAGTTAATACAATTTAAATCATTAGTAACATACAAATAACTACAAAAAACTAAACAATCATTTGGAGCTTAGTAAGTTGTTATTAAGCAAAAATTCAGACAGCATACTGATCTTTTTGTTCAGCAGTACAAGTTTTAAAGAGTATAACAATTTTCACATCCACCTTGCATTGTGCAAAGCGTCTGGTTTAAAATCCAGAGAAAACCACATTTTGTATTTTATTTAGATACAACATTGTTAATTAGAATATTAATTTCTCTATAATCATCTCTAATGAAATTTTGACTCATTGCTTCTTGGCAAAGATTGGTAATGAGATCTTTTTTGTTTATCAAATACTGTAAAATTTGAAAGATGTCAATATTTAATAATTTGGGAAATCAAAGTTTTTCTTAAATCTAAAAACCAAACAATGCAGTCATTATTTTTTAGGTCATAATACTGATGTTAGTTTAATTTTAAATATTAAATAATAATAAAATATCTTTCAAAATAACTTTTCAAAACTTTGTAACCTATAGACTTAAATTATTTTTTAAGAAAACCTTTTGGAAAGCTTTTTGATTTATAATTATAGTTCCTTCCCTATCAAAATATAATTCATTATCAAAATATTTTAATAACTTTGGGTGGTTTCTATGGTTACTATGCGGTATGAACACAGTTGTATCAGTTTTCAAGGTTCTTTTTTGAGAACGCTGTTTAGTTTCATAACTATATCTAAATTATTTTCATAAATAAAATTGAAATTTCATTTCAAAAAATCGATAAAGAAAAAGTCATGATTCATGTCTTTTTCTTTATCGATTTTTTCTTGTCCAGCAACTTTTGTCATGATTCATGTCTTTTTTTTACAAGACTACATTTAAGATCATGGGTGCCTTCCTATCAGTCATCATGCTGATCAGAAACTGTTTATCCTCTGCATCAATTAATTTATCTAGCACATTTTGTAGCCAGAACCTCATTTTTTTTTTTGTAACTTGTCTTTAAACCCAATAATTTTCGAAGTATTCTTTTCAGTGTTTATATAGGTATGGTCAATATTTAGCAGGCTCATTAACTCATTAAATAATTTCACGATTTCCTCATTTTATGTGGTGTAATTGTTTGTATTTATGCTCAATTATAAAATGGTAGAGTTAATTTAACTGTTTCATTTTTACTTATGTATTAAAGTGTGCAAAAAAACATAAAAGCTCCTGACGAGCAGTTAACTGCTCCTGACGAGCAGTAAACTGCTCAGCCTAGATTCTTGTACATCTTGTACAAGTTGTCAGCCTAGATTCTTGTACATCTCTGTAGGGATAGTTTCTAGTATAAAATATTTTGGACTTTTGATTTAGCCATTTTTACCTACCTAACTCAAATTTTCTAATTTTTATATACTTTTTAAAAAACTTAAAAATAAATCTAATTTTGGTCCAAAAAAAATTTTTTTATTGAAAGAAATATCTTTTCACATTTTTTGTAAAAAAAATATAAAGGAAAAAAAACAATATAATACTCAAAATAATATTCTAGTAGGTTTGACCAAGTACAAGTTTCTGCTAATTATAGACAAATTCAATAAATTGTGTCAATCTTGAAACTTCAATTGAAATCTGCTACCCTTAAACATTGTCCAATTTTCTTAAAATTTTAGATTCTTACTATTTATTATAAACCTCACCCCCAAACAAAGTCAGGCTTAATCAGAGCATGTAAGGTTGGTCAACTATGTTTCTATATTGTTGAAAATTTGACTTTAAGCACTTATTTTTTGAAAATTTTTTGTTTAAATTTTTTTTTTTTATCTAATAAATATTAATTTACAAATATTTTGACATTAACTACATGTTTTTTAAAAGTTTACTTAATACATATTTTTTACATTTAAATTTTGATTTGTTTGATAGATAGCCTAAATTTGCAACATTTAGGCTATCTTCGTTTTAAAAACTCTTTTAAATCTGAATATATCTCAGATTTTCTATGATAAATTAAAAGTTATTTTGTAGTTGAAAATATGAAATACCTTGTTACTTTTAAGTAGTGATGTACACTAGGGTGAAATCTCTACTTCACCCCAAGGTTATTTAAAACTAAATCTTTATAAAAAAAAGTTTTATAAAGTGACTACTCTAACACAATGAAAAGAAAAAGATAAGTTTCAAGTCTTTTTTGCATATCTTAAAATTGTTTGCTAAATTTGTATATCTTAAATTACTTTAAGCCTTTTGTTAAGAGCAAACATTTTTGATATTTTCCACAAATACAGGCAATTTTATTTTCCACAATTACAGGCAATTTTATATTTTAACAATTTTAATTTATGATTATAATGTATAGCTTCGTTTACTAGACAAACATCTTTATAAAGACTTTTGTCTAGTAAATGAGTTTTAAGTTTGACTGGAGAGCATAGGGAATGAATCCAAAAAACTACATCCTAAAATACCTTTACTCCCTCTTAAACAAAATTAATTTTAAAAAATAAAGAAAAATTTTTAGAAGTTTTATCCTCACTATTAAAATATTTTTTTAATTTTCTTTTCGTTATAATACAATTGTTATTGTTGCTTTTTGTTTATTATTATTGCTATTACTATAATTTTTATTTTGATATTTTATATTATTACTATTATTGTTGATATTATTATTTTTATTATTATTTAAACTATTGTAAAAATGATTTAATTTTTAATTGTAAATAATTTGTTGTTGTTGTTGTTGTTGTTTTTTTCAAGGTTTTATACTTTGATATATATTATGTCCATAAGTAGCAGAGTGGTGTTTTAAGACTAGCAGGTTAAGATTATTAATTGAAGAAAGTAATGGTTATTTGAACTTTAAGGGAAGAAGGGAAGGTTGTTAAAGGTAAGAGGTAGGTTTTTTGTGTTGGTGTTCCAAAATAAACTGTTTAATGGCTTGAACAAGATCACAAAGTTTACAAATCTTAGAAGATAAAGCACATAAGGATTGAATTTGTAATTCTGAAAATACATTATCTTTAAAGCCTTGTTTTGACGATTCTTGTACCAGCATGTTGCTGGGATTGCCCTATATTTAACACGTATATCATATATGAGAACCAAAAATGGCAAGGCATATTCAAAAGTATTTCCAGATTAGCAAATTTTAGCTAGTATTCCATTTGATCTGCAAATTTTTATTTGCTATGTTTTTAAGATTAGATACAAACAAATGATTAGAGTCAGTTTTAGTTCCAAGATATTTGACTGAGTGTACAGTTTATTCATGTTTTATTTTCTGTCCACTTAATCTAAAAGCATTTAGTAAATAAATGCCTAATCTAAAGTTGTGGCAAATAATGTTGATAATGATTACTGATGGTAATAAGCGACTTAATTAGTGACCTAATAAAGTTACAATTATAGTCCCATTATACTTTAATGTTAATAATCACTGCTGTAATCATTAATCACAGAATGTTTAAAATGTAACATTTTTATTAGTTATGATCCATTATTATGAGTGGCAACAAATGCATCAGCAACATAACTGAAACTAATTTGTTTGAAATAAAAATTGAAACATTTTAAAAATTGAGTCCTTAAGCAGCAACTGAAAAAAATATTATTTAAAAACTTTGGCATATTATAAATTAAATAAATATTATAAATTTATATATTAGATCATATCTAAATCGAAATTTCCGAAAAGTAAAGTTTTCTCTACGGGCCAAATTAAAAGTAACTTTGAAACCATATCTAAATCGAAATTTCCGAAAAATAAAGTTTTCTCTACGGTCCGAATTAAATGTAACTTTGAGACCATAACAAAATAACAAGGAAAAACATACTTCATAAAAACAAGTCGAAAGCCGCTAGTTTATAAGAATCGCTCTTATGCTTATATGTATATGCATATGAATCCTTTAATGAAAAATTCAATCACACATTATAAACACATATAGATAACATACAAATCTGTATCTACATTTCAACAACATATCTATTAAAAGAAAATATTATCTAAATAAGGATGAGTGCAAACAAAGATATTTATCTATGAAAGAACAAAAAGCGTGCAAAAGATGTAAACAGGCTGTATGTGCATAAGGTTGTATAGGTGTAATCTGTAAGTCTGTGCTGTTTATGTTGTTCAGTAGAGTCTTGTATTGCTAGTAACCAGCGTAAAAGATTTGTCTCTGAACTAAACCAAGCCAGCCCAGCCATACTCCAGAAAACCATGATGGATTAAACACCTATGCATGGATTTATAACTGACTTATGACTAAAAAACTAGCCCAGGCATCTTCCACAGACAAAAATCCTCTTTCGCGGTGACAGTAGTTGTGATTAGGAAAATAGTTGTGCTCAATGACGGTAACACTAACCCTTACGGGCTAGGCCCAATATTATTTAAAAACTTTGGCATATAAAATTCGCCGAATGGTCACACACGAGCAGTGAACGCCTGAGGGAAGAATTGAAGTACATTAGAATAAAGGAGAATTATTTATTAGACAAAGCATATTTTGACAGTTGTCAAGACAAATAAAGATTAATATAGGAATATTTAAAAATAAATAAGACAGGCTATACAACCAAAACAGTACTCAACAATAATAACAATAAAAAAAAAAATTAAAAAAATAAAAAAATATATATATAAAAATAAAAAAAATAAAAAAATTAAAAAAATTGTTTTATAAATACCAATATGAACTAAATATACAAGAAATACATAACCAGTCAAAAATTTGTAAAACAAAAAACCATTCAACAAATTAAAAATATGCTAACAACAATGAAAGGACTAATAATGGAAAAAAAAACATTAATGCTAATGTGTAAACATTATTAGTGTAGTGATTAAGTAATAAACATCTCCTCAGAGTCGCGTCTATTATTACTGGCGTTTCGATGAGGATTAGCATTTATAACTAGTTTATCCCGTCAGACAAACGTCATCGCCACTTATGCTTTACCCTGCGACTTACGCTTATTCCATACTGCAGTAAAAAAGGACTCACTACAAATAGCCAAAACCCAACCAACCCCAAATTTGTAAAGCATCAATATTTTTTAATTGAGTCCTTAAGCAGCAACTGAAAAAAATATTTTCTTAAAAATTAAAAACATTTTGAACTTAACTATTTTACAAATGTATTTTTTATTTTTGTTTTATAAAAATTAGCAGTACCATCAAAAACAAGATTTTTAAATTTGGCACAATTACTATTATTTTATTGTAACTATATTGTAATCTCTATTTAAATTCTAATTAACAATTGGAATTGTAAATAGAGATTACAATATAGTTGTAGATAAGTTGTAAAAAAAAAAATGTTTTTTGATGTCTAATTATCTAAAAACAATGATAATGGTTTTGCAAGTACTGTAGTTCTTAAAAACTTAGTTTTTTTAAATTTGAGCTTGTCAACTTTTTTAATTTTATTTTATTATAGGTGAAAGTTTTCATAAAAGGTGCAATTAGATTGCTTAATATTTCATCTGCTGTAACTATTGACATAGACAACAACGGCTTAAAATTTTATGTTGAAGGAAATTTGTTTAATCTTTTTTACGTAAATTTAAAAGTTGAAGCCTCATATGGAAATAAAATGAATTTGGATAAAGCTGGATTTAAGGTATTTAAATCATTAATTAATTAATTTTTTTTTTTTTTTAATGATATGATTTCCAAAAGTGATGATTGAATAATTGGTATGACTTTCTCTGTCAATACTGATATTATAAAATAGTTTCAAAGCTGTTAAAAATTTTAAAAAGTTCATTTTAATCAGGAAATCCTTTTACTATTAATGAAGATGTTTTAAATTTATTATTGAGAAGTTTACTCTTGTTAAATGCAAATATTTTACTCTTGCGGTTAAAGTGTCTACATTTAACCCCTATGTTAAATAACATTGAAATATCTATGAACTTTATTGGTTGCCATTATGTTTGAAAATATGTTCTTTATACTTATTTTTCGATTTGTTTACAAAATAGTTTTTGCAGTAATAAGTTATTGCAAAATATTTAGGTTTCAGCTTGCTTATCAACTGATATTGCTAATAATGCAAACAAAATAACAAATAATGGTTTAGAGGATGCTGTCAAAAAGGTCAATGGTGTTGTTTCTTATGCTGAGAAGAAACTTAAAAAATATTGTAGGTTCTTATTTTAAAAAATTTTTTTATTTATTTTTTATCTTCTTTCTTTTATATTAAATTTAAATTTATTAGATTTGACAATATTTAAATTAATTTTTAAACTTTATAACACTAATTGCCTTGCTGTAACCTTAACAACAAGGGTTAATATTTTATTGGTTTCATATAAAAACTGGCTAGTATGTAAATAAATAGCAAGTATATGTTGTACAAGAATGTACTTTGAATGTACAAAATTAGATATAAAACTCAGTGTGTAAGAAAAACATCAAAGAGAAAAATGCCAGATAAATGTTCAATGTTGTTTTGTAGAAACGTAATTTGATGGTGTTACACAGCCTGAAAATTTGAGACCCGATTGCTGATGAAAAATACCATTTGAAGTGGTGATACTGCATACCATTAATTATCCGTAATGAGTTATTTCAAAATTTTTATCATTTTTCTACAACAAATATTTATCTCAAGTTATAACAACTTATGACTTTTCTGAAAAAATTATTTCACCCAATACATTCTAAATATTAAATACGCTAAATTGGTTCCTGAATTATTTTTTTACTCTTTTTTCTTATTAACAAAACATATTGGTCATAAAAATACTTCTCAATAAGTAATTGTAGCAAAACAACATTTTTCAGATTTTTTTTGTTTTATTTGTTTGCATCTTGGTCCAGTTTGTGCAGTTAATTCACATTTTTTTGTTGTTGTAATCAACAACACAGTTTAGGAGCTGATCACTGTGAATCAAGGACACTGCCAGGTTTTATGTCGTGACCCTTATGTTAAAACTTTTAAACATAAAAGTATTTGTCCTGTAGGTTTCAAAAAGAAACCTGAACAAAGTGCTAAAGGTTAAAAACGGGGCTAAAGGGTAAGTCGAAAGGGCCGATTTGTAAAAATGAAAGTCATGTTTTTTTAATATTATTAAATTTTTGCTTTTAGTTAATCTGTTACATCAAATTATTTAGATTTTATAATGGCTGTTGAAAAAAACATTGATGCTTATTTAATTTTATAATTAAATAAGCGTAAATGTTTTTATTTGATTTCATACATAAATAATATCTACAACAGCATAGTTATAAATATGTGTAAGAGTACATCCATATCAATGCATGTATACATGTATGAATAATATATGAATTTATATACATCTATTTAGATACTTAAATAAATTAACATACAGATGTGAATATACATACATTCCTATGTATATATGTACAAAAATATATACTTGTATGTTTGTATATGATGTACATGTATATATGTGTACACACAGAGACACACATATACACTTATATCTGTGGCTTGATAAAAAGAAGTGGAAATCAAAAAATCTCTTCTACTAAAAGTTTTAAAAGTCTCTTTTACTTCTCTTACCAGGCCACAGATATATAAGTATATATGTAGATACATCTACATTCTTTTAACTACCTAAAATGTTAATAAATGTGCATATATGATATGTATAAATGTAAAACATACATTATGTATTTGCTATCTATAAATGTTGTGTGTGTATATATATATGTATATATATATATATATATATATATATATATATATATATATATATATATATATATATATATATATATATATATATTACTAAAATATATTTTATGTATAATTTTGTTTATATTTTATGTGCATATTTGTACTAATAATTAGTACAAATATGCACATAAAATATAAACAAAATTATACATAAAATGTAACAAAATTAAATTCTTCAAAATCTGCCACTGCTGATAGTAACCTGTCACCATCATTTGGATTCTCTTTTTGTCTCTTAAACCCAGTCCAGCAAAGTTTCCTTATCCTTGGCTATGGTGTTCCACATATGGCTGTACATGTCACAGTAGAATGTGATTTTTTCTATGTTATCTTAATAATCTTATTTCCATGTACCATATATCTTTATGAAAGCCTTGTTCCTCAGAGTAAGAGCCCATGTTCTCCTTGACTTTGTCAAAATATGAATCAAGGATATGGACTTTCAGAGACATTCTGCATCCTATTTTAGCGTAATCTTTCATTAGAGTCTGCACCAAATTCACATAGTTTTTAGCTTTGTGATTATCTAGGAAGCCCTGAACAACTGCATTGAAACTGCTCCAAGCGGCTCTCTCCCTCCTGTTTAACAGCCAATTTCTCACGTTTTATGATCTTTTTGATCTTTTTAGCCTCAGACAGCTTTGGAAAAACATCTTAGAGGTATTGAAATGTTGCAGAATCTTTGTCAAAAGTAGTGACAAATTGCTTAATGAGGCATAAACACTTTATGAGGTTCTATTAGCGGCTCCTACTTCACGTTGCTCTTCCAAACAGAAAACTCAGTCCATTGTGGCCAGTCCTTTGTGCGATAATGCACCTTAACGTTGCAGCTGTCCTAGAAACACTAGAAACAAAGAAATTTCCTTGAAGACCCATCAGGAATGATATCATTTTGAATTCTCCAATGACCTCCCATTTGTAGTTGTCATACGTTAATGCATTCAGCAACATTTTGACACAGCTGTAGTCCTCTTTGAGATGCATGAAATGAGTGCGTCATTACGAAAGGCAAGTAGTTTTTCCATCGTAAAGCAACATGGCTTCAAGGCTCCAGGATGAACTGTCTATGAATAGACGCCATTAAAAAGCATTACATACAATGCCTGGAATAGACCGGCAATATCGTTGCAGAAGTTCAGCCCATCACATTGATAGAAGAAGTAAGAGAACTTTAGATGCAGCTTCCTCTGATCCGTGACTTAAACGCTATCATCAACCAAGTTCTATTGTTTGAGCCTGGTTATCAGAAGCTTAGCATTGAATTTTGTTAGCCTGAGGTCCCTAATTAAATCATTCACATCTTCTGGTACGGCTTTTTATCCCCACCTTCATCTGCAGAATTGTAGTCCACATCTCTAGTATCTGACTTGGAACAGTTAGAACAAGCAGATCGACTGTGTGATACTGGGCCGTTGCAAGAAGATATATCTTGATGAACAATCTGAGGGGCATTTTTGCTGGTGCAACGATTATTTGGGTTTACCATGTAGAAGTAGCAGTTGATTGAGTGGTTCGTCAGCTCTTACCAAATTTGTGGGATAGCAAACTTTATCGCTTGTTTTTCTCCTCTGTACCAACCTGTAACATAGCACATAATAATACATTTTTATGAGATTGAGGACAGGAAATTTCAAAATATTGAACAATTTCAAGATAGAACATATTTGCCTACAGTACACGACAAATGACAAAACTTTGTAAATTAAATCTTCTTCCCAGCTAGCACATTGGCCCAACTTATATAAAACTATCACAAACATTGGCTCTTTTTTCAAATGCAAAACTAATGTTGATCTAATGTCACTTGGTTAATGATAAAATTATTACCGATGGAACTAAAAACATCTGGCAAATTTACATCGGTCTAATGTATGTAAAAACATCACAAAAAATTGATTATTTTTACCCAATGTTTATCCAATGTATATATTTCGACGTTTATTCAATGCATATAAATCAATGTTTTTCCAATGTATGTAAAAACATCGAAACAATTTGATTGTTTTCACGATCTTAACCCAACGTTGATCCAATGTATATATCTCGACATTGATTCAATGTATATAAATCGACATTTTTCCAATGTATGTAGAAACATTGCAAAAAGTTGATTGCTTTTATCAACTTTGATCCAATGTATATATTTCAACGTTGATTCAATGTATATAAATCAATGTTGATCCAATGTATGTAAATACATCGCAAAAAGTTGGTTGTTTTTACGAACTAAACGCAATGTTTATCTGATGTATATGACCAAACATTGCTATTGCGAAATTATATAACTTAAATAAAATCTTCTGTGATTATTTAAATATCAAACCACAATTAATACAAACATGATTTTTGTTCCCTTAATCAAATGTTATATATATATATATATATATATATATATATATATATATATATATATATATATATATATATATAATTTAATAAAAATTTATCTTCGAATAAAATTGAATGCAACGTTTTGCCATTGTTGAAACAACATAAAATACAACGCTGGTCTAATGTATAGAATAAAACGTTGTATCAACATAGAAAATATAACTATTGAAACGCGCAACATTGTTCTTATGTTTTAACAACGTATGTGTGCTGGGTTGAAATGAACTAGATCTAAAGCATTGAAATTTTTATGAAAATTAAATTAAAACAAGAAACAACTCTTCAGTGTTCCTTCAAATGTTTTCTTGAAATATTCACATTTAAAATGCGTTTCCAAAGATTTGTCTTGGTCCCCAATTGGTACGCCAAAGTATGCCTTGTAGGCCTCACACATTATATGACTTGCTTCCACGGAATACTTTTTTGCTCTTGTCTTAATGAATTGTCTGCACACGTGGCAGAATAAATAAGCTGGATGCAAACAACTTCTTGATGCCATATCAAATAAATAACTTCTCTTCAACTACAAATCCTTATCCTTTCAGTCTGTGATAACAAGAATTGGAATCTTGGTTTGACACACCTGTGCTTTTATACTTGTATAACTACTTTTGGAATGTTCAAGAATGTTCTAGAAAGTTCTGAGAGTTTTTCGAAAGTTCTGGAAGTTTCTTGAACGTTTTAGAGTGTTTAAGAAAATTGTATAAACGTCTGAGCAACTCTAACAGTTCAGGAATATTATTGGAGGAAGCTTGGCATTTAAAGCGAATCAATAATTTTCTCAAAAACACGCAATTTTCCAAATTTCGTTGTCTTGGTCACAGAAGCAAAGTTTTTCTGGAATAACAGCAATTTCTTTTCAACTTTAATAAGACTAGCACAAAATCTATTTGAATTTTCAAAAATATTGAAAATTGCAGATAAGTTTCAAAATTGCAAATTTTCAAATTGCAGATAAATTTCAAAAAATATTCAAACATAATTTTTTAGTGAAAATCTTGATTATAGAATGTTTACAATTAGGCACATAAACCATTACAGAGAAAATGATCCAAATACAAAGAAAATGATCCAAACATTAAGTTAAAACATAGTTTAAACATTGAGTTAAAACATAGTTTAAATAATGAGTTAAAAATTTATAAATAGTGTTGTTAGAAATATAAAGTTAATGTAATATATAATATAAAAATTAATTATAAAAATGAATTCAATATATAATATATAAATTAATATTAATTAAAAAAAGCAAGCTTTTAATAAAAGTTTCTTTAATTTTAATTTTAATCTAATATTTCATTTTTTTCAGAAATCTAGTTATTTTAATTACTTAATGGTTTTAAAACCATTTTATTTTACTCTATTTTTCTCAAGTTTTAAATATTTGCATTTTACAATTATATCATTATTATGTCACATGTGTAACAGATAGTATTTGAATATAAAATGTGATTTGTTGTTCACAATATTGTTATAATTATAAAAATTTTATATTTTCTTATAAATTTTTTAGCTGCTCAGCATAATGAATTTGTTTCAAAAAAAGAATCTTTAAGTAATATCAGAAATAAACTTTTTGATAAGATGACTGTAACTTTTGCAAAAATTGAAGAATATCAAAGTAAAGTTGGAAGTAGTTGCACAGATCAATGTCATAGGGGTATAAAATTTTTTTTTAAATATTTTTGTGTGTTTATGTGTCAGAAATGTTTTTAATATTTTTGTGTGTTTATGTGTTAGAAATGTTTTTAATATTTTTGTGTGTTTATGTGTTAGAAACTGGGTACTTTGCAAAAAACTGGTGCTCTGCAAATTGCCTACTTGACAAAGGAGAAGCATCTATAAGAATTGAAGGAAAGAAAAATAAACAAAATGTAAAAAAAAAAATATATTAGAATATTTTTTGAGTTCTTTATTAACAAAATTTATAAAAAAAATCCATATGCAATAAAAAGAAATAAATTGAATTTAATTTAAAAAATGTTTATTAAAATAAATTAATAATTAGAATGTTGTAATTATTTGTTTCAAGTATAAACTTAAATACTTTTAAGGTGCGTTCAATGGTCTATGAATCTTTTGATGAAGTTTTCGGATTTTTTGATTGGATAAAGGAACAAGGGGAAAAACTTCTCAATACTGCAAAAGAAGGTTTCATTACAGTAGGCAATAAAATTGTAGATGTTGCAAATGACGCATATGAAGGAGTAAAGGCTGGTTTTGAAATAGTGAAAGATGCTGCAGTGTCTTTTTCCAAAAAAATTATTGATATACATCTAGTTTGCTTTAACACTTCACTTGAAATAGCATCAAAAGCTTGTTTTGGTGTCAAAGTAAATGTGACAATTGTTGGAAGTCAGAAGTTGATTGATATTGATATTTGTTTTCAGACGGGGTTTATAAGTGCAATTGCGAAAAAAATTAGTGATTTTTTTTATCCCGGAATAGAAGCACTTGAAGAAAATATTGAAATAATAAAATCAAAATTTAGTTTTTTTCGCAAAAAAGTTAAAGAAGTAAGCTTTTGTGTTATACTTAATTGAATTACAGCTATAAATTTTCATTTACTAAAAACTTTTATTAAACAAAATTAACTTTCAAAAAATTACCTTTCAGTTGAGCAAAAAAAAACTCTTGGTTGAAAAAAAATCAAAGAAGCTAGAAGAGCAGGTTAACAGGGATAATGTTGATAGTGATGAAATGGATGATATTAGTGATGGAATTACTAGAAAGGTATTTTCAATGCAATTTGTTTTTAATTTGTAATCACATTATACAAAATAGTTTTAGGTTTGTTTATGTTTAACAACTTTATATTTTTACTTTATATTTTACACAATACTTGTGTTACATTGATTAGAGCTATAAATTTTTTTTTAACTTTTCGTTTTAATTTTAGAATAATCTTTATAAAAATATAACATTGGATGAAATAAAATGTCAGATTTACAATGAGAATCATATTGTATCACTAACTGATGGAGATGTTCTCGATGCTTTAGATATATATCCAGACTACACTAATGAAATTAATTTTTCAAAAAATGAATCAGTTGGTATATTTTGTCTTTTTTTTTTTTTTTTTTTTTTAAATAAAGAAAACGTTAAATATTTCCAAAAATTGTTACAAAAGTTTTTTTTTACATTTTATAGTTTTAATAATTTTGTTAAAAAATTTTAAAAGTAAGAAATTAAAACCTTTAATAGTATCAACTTTTTTTCAAGTATTGTATTTTTCAATTAGGAATTAAATTTTGTATTTGAAAGTATTTTTGGGTACGTTTTGCTGTTTTAATCATTATTTCATATACACCACTTAGAAAAAGTCCTAGTGTAGCATTGAAGTGTGATTTGATTCCTTTACTAGCTGTCGAGCTGGATATATAATTTTATTTTTATTTAAGTTGTTGATAAGTTCTAAAACTTCTAAATACTCTTTTGTTTATTATTTTAAAAAAGGTATTAAGGAATCTAAACAAGTAAATAAGCACAAGTTCTATATTTAAATATACTTCCCTCTACTTTGCCATGTAAGAAATGGTCCAGAGAAATCAATACCGATATCTAGCAAATGCACATATTGACTCCTTTAAACGAATAGAGGTAGATGGGGCATTAATTGTTGCGTAGGTAGATTTTGCTCTAATAATTTTGTTAGAAGTTGAATTGTTCTTGTTACATGATTTCCTTCATCATGATAATTTTTAACAATCAGTTTTGTAACCGTGTGACCTCTCAGCAAAATGATTGCATATTAAACATTGTTAAGCAAGTAATAAGCATTTTGTACTTAACTATAAAAGTGTAACAAGCCATCTTCATCAATTTGTGTATTTTAAGAAATCATTTTGCTTGATGTTGGTATTGTTTTTTTTTTTTTGTGCTACATTCTTCTTTGAAGTTGTTGAGCCTTAGCAATGTTTTTTTTATTTTTTTATTTCATGAGCTGTTAACATGAACTGTTATATCACCCTTTTTACTAATCACTTGCATTTTAACAATTACTTATATGTCTATGTATCTATTTGTTTATCCTGACAAGTTTTTTCCAATGTGAGAATATATTTATATCAAGTAATTTATTTACTTAAGTAAATAATGAAAAGTTCATCAATACAACATTCTTCAACAACATTAATACAACATTCTTATTACCTGAGCTTCTTGTGTGAATTTTGTTGTCCATTTCTCCACAGATTTTGTGTCTGCTTCTCCTCCAAAGAGTTAGGAAACTTAGTCCATGCCACCTCCTAGTTATGTTTGATAACTCATTTGCGGATATTCTTTTTGTTAGTAAATCCACTATATAAATCTTTGTTGTTATGTACTTTTATTGTTTTAATTTCAGTCTTTGAATGTATTCAACAGTTAGCAACAAATGTTTTTAACTTTTGGCTTCCAACTTAACGTTTTGTGGTGGATTTCTAATCCACCACAAAACGTTAAGCATATAGTTACGTCTTTGATTTCAAGCTGAATAACGTTACCTTGTCTTTAAACAAAAATCATTTAGAATACATCAGGTTCTGCAATTTCATATTTTTCTATAAAATTTGTTGATATCTTCGATCATCTTTATGTATTTCAATTCTCAAATAAATTTCTACTATATCACAAGATATTAATTTTATATAAAACTGTTACAAGGTCTTGTTGAAATTTTAAACCTTGATAAATTCATCAAACACAATTCTAACTTTTGTAGTTGATTTATTGTGACAGAAAATTAGAAAGTGTGGTAAGTATGAATCATCGCTTAGATTCTTCCTATTAATTTATTCCAAATATCTCTTTTGTTGATACTGCATAATATTATTATTATAATCATCATCAAGACTCTTATTTTTCATTAGACATTTTTCTGTGTTTCTAAGTCAATTCAATATTATTGTATAATTATCATCTAACTGCCTATTTCTATCCAAGGTCATTTTAACTCATATCATCTGTTTTCTGTTTTCAGCGAACATGTTACCATATGTAGTATGAACATGTTACCATATGTAGGATATTTCGGGCTTGTTATTATGTTTTTAAATTGCATCTCTTCATCGCCTTCAATTTCCCATAACTTTTGAATTTATATTTTTTATTTAATTTCTTTTTGGTAATAATTTTGTGTAATTGGTTTAAAGATATCCTCTAGCACCTCCAATTAATGTCCATATAAAAAGTGCGAGTTGAGCAACTAGTTCATTAAATCCCCTTTTAACTTCCTTAAATGTGTTATTCAGCATAATCCACACCAATTACACCAATATGAATTTTCGGTTTAGGTCCAATGTTTGGGAATTCTATCTTTTTTAGATGCCTCTACCTTTTTGACATTTTTGTCCAATTAACTGCTTTTACGTTTCCAGTTACTTTATTCATTCTAAAATGTGTTAGGATAAGATTTCAAATAATTTTATGATTTTTATTATTTTAATTCCAATTTTTTTAATCGAAGTATTTTATTAAGAATTTTTAAACTAGAGTTATTATGTAGTTTTAAGCATTTAACAGTTGTTTTTTTTACATCATAACACTCTAAATTACCAATAAATATAAAATTACAACCTTAAATAACAATTCTACAAGTACAAAGAGCTACTGTATATATTAATATATTATTACTGTATATATTCAGCTTAGTTAAAGTCTTACAATTCTTATGCTTTGTTAGACAAGATAAATCGAATTTGTAGGATTTCTTCCTTTTTACAGAGTTCAGAAAGGTCTTGAAGATATTTGACTGCTCGTTTTGCTCACTGGTTTGTTCTGGGAATTTCCAGTCACGATGGTTACTGATTTGAAAACTTTTTTCACATTAGTTTATATCTTCCTGTGTTGTGGGCAGTTCTTTACAAATTCCGGCATAAATGGATATTTGACATTCGGCAACATGTTCTTCCTCCAAGTTCATAATTCATTATTATGCAAAGGATTTGGTCAAGAACATGTTGACAACCAATGAAATGTGGTTTTTCTAGTTTCTTTTCAAAAAAAACGTCTTTGTAACTGACTGACAATTTCATTTCTTCTTCCAGTGTCTATGTTCATAGTGTCCGCTACAATCATCTTTATACTTATACGAATAGCTGTTATACCTTTAACAGTATCTGCTTTCTGTTCTTTCTGAGCATGATGCTTTTTTGTGTCTGTGCTTAACTTTTCTTTGTTTATTCTTTAACACTTAAACATTTTCAACACGTTATTCTTGGCGACTAATACGTTTACCATCAAAGTGCAGTTACCATCTTTCTATATGTAGTGTTTTCTTTATTTCTTCTTTAAGCTTAACAGCTTCTTTAATAATTGATCTGAATATCAGACTGTGAAGGTGTCTTAATGTTGATTCCATTTTAAGATAACTGTTGACAAATGGTTGCTGCTTTGCTGGTTGATAACTTTAAGTATGTTATTAATTTGTTTGTAGTTTTGGTTTTGCTGTTACCAACAATTTGCATGAGTGGTATCCAGCTGTTTTTCCAGTGATTGTTTTGGAACAGCGGAACAGTTCTTTTTTTCATGTGACAAATTTTTTTTTGAAAATGATGCCAGGCAAAAAAATGCAGTGACTGACTATTGCTATCGCCATATGCTTGAAAACCTTTTATGGCCCATTTTCCATCATATGTACCTAGAAAACACATTTTTCAGCAGGATGGTGCCACATGCCTCTAAGCTTGAGAAACAATTGCTTTATTGAGATCCAAGTTTCTGATTCGCATTATTTTATGTAATGGAGATATTAATCACCAAGATCTTGTGATTTAATCCTTTAGACTTTTTTTTTTTTTTGGGGGGGGGGGGGGGTTATAAGTAAAACATCTATGCTAATGCTCCAAAAACATTTTTGAGAACTTCAAGCTTTTTTCAAAAAAATAAAAATGTGTAAAAAAGCTTGTGATCGCCATCTGCTTGATGTTATTTAAAAAAAAAAATTGCATATGGTAATCTTTAAATAAAAAATGCAAATGAACTCAATCATTTATTTTTCTATTAAAAAAACATTGCCTAGGTTCTTTTGGTTCATCTTTTATGTATTCCCACTAAAGTGTATATTTCCATCTCCCTCTAAAATTCAGTTGCACTTTTCTTTTGTTCAATTACACCATTGCCAGTAGATTAAGTAAAATATTGTGTTTGTTAACTTTGTATTTTTTTAGCGATGTCTTTTTATTCAACCTTGATTAATTTTTCATAATTGTGCTTTTTACTAATGGGAATATACCAGGGTTGGCAAAAAAAACTCAACCCAAAAAAACCCAACCCAAAAGAACCCAAAAAAACCCACCTTAAAAAAACCCAAAAAAACCCAAAATATATTTGGGTTTTTTAAAAATGACCTATTTTACAACTGATAACTCTGATTTTAACACTTATAAATGCTTTATTATCAGCAAGTGCAACCTTTATACTGTAATTACTCTTGTAAACACTGTATTTATATACATAATGGTCTTTAGGATATACCCAAAATCGATCAATCTGTTTTTGTAGCAAGTTGGTTATTTATTATTTTTTTTAAACATTTAGCAAGTTATTATAAATGTTATTGAAATATGTATTAAAACATTAAATTAGTTAAATACTTATAAAATAAATAAAAATCATTCTATTAACTAAATTTCAAGACATTACTAGTTATTTAGTATCTTTATTCTCCTCTCGAATGTCTGTATTCTTTTATATTGGTATTTGATCCTTTAATTTTTAAAGCTTGTTGTAAACTGCAAAAAAAAAAAATACAAAGCCACAAGCAAAATACTATATATAAAAATTAAACTTTATTTACAGTTTAGAAATGGAAAGTTGTCAGGCAAAAAAAAAATGCTACAGTTTACTAGGATTTGTCCTTCAGTGCATACAACTTTAAAACTTAAAAAAAATTAAGTTATGTGCAAGCAAGCTTGCAACATGTTTGCTCATTCAATGAGAGAACATGTTGAAAACTTGTATGCATTTCACAAAGACAAGATTTGTTGGTAAAAATGACACTCGTGCTCGTTTGTCTTTTGACAGGTTTTGAATATTTTGCATCAGCTACAAGTTTACAACATGTACCACCAACAGGGGTGACTATGAACAGCGGGTTGAAAATTAACATCAGTATCAAGTTGCTAAAAGGTGAAGAAACACACACACAATAGAGCTATATAATGTGTTACTTTGATTCAGTTTGCAATTTGCATTGCAAAACTGAGCCAGTAAAACATCTTCAAGGGAAAAAAAAAACATGGTGGCAAAGACACTGTAATGGTTCTTAACAAATTTACTTTATATATATTTAGAAACAAAGTTTAGGCAAAAATCCATTTTTTGCCAGTCCAGTTGATCAGGCCGATAACTTTTCCAGGAAGCTGGACAGTATAATGTTCTGATAAAAAAAAATGTAGTGATTAGGCTAGCAGTTTTCTTCTATGATACAAAAATGTTTAAAAAGTGTTCATAGTCATCCTGATTGATAATAACTTATAAGGTTGCAACATCATGTTGCAAACTTGTTGATTACATGTTGTAAACTTGTGCAAAGTAGTTTTTGAATATGTTAGTAAAAAAAACTAGTTTGCAACATTTATATTGTCTTACCAACTTTGAATAACTCAATTGTCATAATTTTTACACTGATTTTTTTTTTTGTCAAAAATATTCTGAACATGTTTTTAATTTAGAGCAATTAATTAACATCTTTTATATCCCTTTTTGCACTATAGGTAAAATGTGCTAGTAGACTAGTAGTAAAACATTTGGCTCGCAACCAGAAGGTTGGGGTTCAAATTACTTCTGCTGAAATTACTGTCTCAATCTATTTCTCCACACAGCGCCTTTGTTTAAAAATTTTAGTTGTTAATGTTGTTTGTTAGTAAAAATGGTAATGTTAAGGATTGAGACAAAATATTTTTTAAAAATGAGTTGCTCCCTTGACTGAAATGGTCATTGGAGCAATAGGGAGGTGAATTTATAAAATTAAAAAAAAAATTATTGTACTCATTCAATTATAAAAATTTGGTATTTTGATCGATTTTTAAAAAAAACCAAAAAACCCATAAAACCCAAAAAAACCCATTTGGGTTGGGTTTTTTTTAAAAACCCTGGGTTTTTTCCAACTCTGGAATATACAGAAATAAGATTTATTTACCAATATAATCAGTTGAGAGTTGGTATTCCATTTCCATTCAAAATTAATGTCCTGTAATGACTGATAACATTTTTATAATCACAAATGTTATCAGTAATAATATTTTGTAGAGCAAGTAAACATATTAGAATTAAACATATTTCAAAACACAATAAAAATAATCCTAAAGAATGCCACTTAGAGTTAGTACTTTGTTCATTTCCATTACAACTAAAGTCTTAAAATAATCTTAAAGCTTAAAATTGACTCAAAATTCTTACGCAGTTTCTGTATTTTGTCAATAAATGTGTAACTTTTTTCTTATCATCTTTATCATAAAGACTTTTGCAATTAATGCAGTAAGCACATCCTAGTGACATGTGTAATATTGTACATTCCAGGAACATGTGCAATATTGTATATCCCAGGCACATATGCACTATTTTACATCCCAGTGACATGTACAATATAGTTCACTATTCATGCATCGTCTTGGATTAATAGTAAAAATATGCTTGTTTTTTTTTTTTTAAATAAATATTATGCTCAGAGCTTGTTTCAAAACCTTTTGCTTTCTAAAGCAAGCACTTTAACTAATGCGCCATAAGGCGCTTAATTATAATATAAAATATTGTATTAAATATTTAACATTGTTTTTTGCTTGTTTTTTTGTTACATTCCTAATTTATTACACTTTTGTTTGTGTAATTATCTGTATTTTAATAAAATTGTTTAAAAATAAACCTGGAATTCTTGAAAAGCACAAGACATTGTCTGGCAGCTCACTAATAAGTGTAGAATTTGTTCAGTTTCACAAAATAAACATCTTCTGTTTTTCATTTTGCTTTAGTTTAGTTGCAAAATGTTTTTCATAAGCTACAAATGCTTTGATCAAGGCTTTCTTTATTTTTTCCGAAACTCCTTTTATCAGTCTGTTTAATTTGTTGATAAACTTTGAATGCACTATTTGCAGAAGGACAATACTTGGCAGATCAACTTAAACCACCTTACAAACTAATTCAACCTTTTCCGAGAATTCTGTAATAGGTTTTTTTGATGTTGTGAAGGTCTGGAATAATTTTAAAATACATTTTTGCAGACATGGAAGAAATAGCAATTACAATTGTTTAACATTGAAAAGCTCACGGTTTTAACAAAAACAACGTAGATACAAACTTAAGTTCTCCCGATATTTATAGTTACATTTAATATTTTATATACTTTTTTAATTGAAATTTAACCTATGGTGTTTAGAATTATAAATATACTAGATATATTGTTTTCTTTAAAATTTTCACCAAATAGGCTTCTTTTTCAAAACAACTTCCTGTATTTACAAACCTTGTTTTAAACCAATTTTCCTATATATGCAATTGCATTAATAATCTTTCAACATTTGTATCTACATTTCGAGTTTTAAATACAAGCATATATATTTTTTTAAAAATTAAAAAGTAATTTAAAGCAAGATTAACACAAGTGTATTTAAGTATCAAGTAACTTTATTTTTCTTTTTTGGAATTGTAAATATGGCAGTAATTATTTTTTCTCTGTTTTTTATTTAGACGTTAGCGATTTAGCACAACAAATAATAGGTGAAAAAAATAAATGCGAATTGGCCCAAGGACTTGTGCGAAATTATGAGAAAATATCAAATCAATTTAACGAAATGCTTTCTTTTCTGGAGAATCAAAAACAGTTACATAAAAAACAATGTTTAGATTTTCACCACAAGTTTAATAGTTTGGAGAGAGTTGCAATTGAAAAATGTTAGTCTATTAAATTTGTATAAATTTTTTTAATTCCCAATAATCATTTGATTTTTGATTGTATATTTAAATGTTTTACAGCTTTTTTATTTTATAGGTAAGCAAGCAAAATGTAATAAAATACAGCGCCAAAAGTTAGTTTTCTTAGCTCACAGTCTCACTCATGGTATTTCTTTTTACTAAGACTTTTTAAGTTTGTTGAAATAATGATGATCACGATGATGATCATCATTATCATAAGTAACTTTATTTTCTAATAATAGATAGATGATCTATGATCATTATGATGAATAATAGATGATCTATGATCATTATAATAGAATAATAGATAGATGATCGTGGTCATTATGATGATCATCATCATGATGGTGATGATCATGGTGATTTTGTCATTTTTGAGAAATTTAGTTTATCTATTATGCTTAAATTTCAAGCTCATGTGACTCGCGCTAAAAAATTGGATGAAGACTTTGAAGCAATTGGTAAAAGATTCATCGAAAGCGAGAAAGAGGCAATGGCTCGTAACATTGATTCGAGTGGCATGACCGTGGAAACATTTTTGTCTAAACTAAAGTATTCTACTGAAACTGCTTCTCTAATTCCTAGTAAAACAAATGAATACAGATCACGTTTAAATGCATCTTTTACGGTAAGCTTATCTTGAATCTAAAACTATGGGTTTGATTTATTCGTCACAAATTTTCCTTTACTTAATATACACTTTTGATCTATAGTAATTGTAATTTTTTTTTATTCTCATAATTTCTACAGAAATTGATTAGAGTTGCTAAAAAAATTTAGATATATATATATTTATATATGTGTGCAGGAATAAATTTATTTTGAATAAGTATTTATAAGCTATTCTTATACAAATTTTAAGAAATTCTGAAGATAGTAAATTTCGGATATGTTTCAAAGAAAAAGAATAAAAAGTAAAGAATTCAAAGAATTTTTTTGTGCTGTATAGTTGACTAAATACAGTCAGTTTTAATTTTGTTTATTATAAGGTATCTGCGATCAATGCAATTTTTTATATAAAGTTTTTAAATATTGTGTTTTGTTGGCTATCAATTAAAATGTCAAGTAAAAAAAGTAGTTTTGAGGTAAACAAGAAAGTTTATTTATATTCATTTGAAAAGTATAAAATTATATTTTACTTATATTTACTTATATTTTTTATGTTGATATGTCTAATTTAAAGATTTAATTTATAACTAAATAGTTATAACTATTATAAATATTTACAGCTAGAGTAATTTTCAAAGTAGTTTTGTTTTCTGAAATTTTTAAAAGACCTAGGATGTGTAGCTGTTACTTATTTTATGTAAAACTTTTTAAAAGACGTACGATGTGTAGTTGTTACTTATTTTTTGTGAAACTTTTTAAATAACCTATGATGTGTTAGTTGTTACTTTTTGTGAAATAATTATTTTTTTACCCTATTTTTAGGCTGTTCAAAATCTTTTTGTGAATGATGACCTACCATACAAGAGTGTTGCACTGAGTTTCCAGTCGATGAAAAGCAATTTGGCTTTCTTAAGAGAAAACATTCCATGCGCTGCCTAAAGCAAAACTAATTTTATAATTTATTATACAATATAAACAAAATATAAATAAAAAATATACGTATGCAGTTATATTATAATTAATATATTATTTAAATTATAAAGTTATATTCTAATGTTAAAAGTTATGAAAAACGTCAAGTTTTTTTTTCTTTTTTTTTTCAAATTATATTAGTTCCTTTATTCTTAATCAATAGTGCATCAAATCAAAATTATATGATTATATTCAGGGCTTAAAATAAATGCAGGACATCGGATTAAAAATGATATCTATCGGTCATTTGATCGACATTTATTTTATGTGCATTAATTTTCTAATCATTTTAGTTGTTCTAAAAGTTGAAAATAAATTCAGTATTGTATATAAACTTTATTTTTTGAACTTTTTATTTTTTATTCAAAACAAAATTGAAGTTGAACACGCGGCTAATAAAATACGCCATTTTGAATTAAGTAGCCCGGTTTTTATCATTCATATTAAAACGTTGCAATAGACGTATCCCGCATTCAAAAAGATTGCAATTGCCCACTTTCATACGGAAAGGTCTGGGAACGAATAATTGAGCTGTAGGGACAAAAAACATTATTGCGTTTGTTTACATATATATTAGTTTAAAGTAGAGTGATATAAAGTTTAAAGTAAAGCAATATAAAATTTAAAGTAAAGTGATATAAAGTTTAAAAAGTAATATAAAGTTAACTATTAATTTACTACTACTGTTTTAAAAGTATATTTGTAAATGGAGCTAAGTATTAATGTTGTAAACATTTCAACAGCTTCAAGAAGATTTGTGTTGAATGGCTTGTAAACCACGGACTTGGTGTCACAGGCTCTGTTAAAGAATTGCAAGCAAGAATTTTGAAGTTCTTACCATATCCAAAATTAGTTGAAAAACTTTATCGAAAAGCAAAAAAAAAATTCTTGTTCTCAACAAGTTTGCATGAAGACGAGATACCACACTTATCTCAAAATTGGACTGACAATGAAAACCTCTACCCTTATGTAAACTCTAAGCTTTTTAAAGAATACATTCTCAATAAAAGAGAGGGTACATTTGGACAACAGCAAAAAGCATACCAGATGTTAACAAGCAGAAAAATTATATCTGTTAAAACGCATTCAGATAGCAATAGAGTATATGTAAGAGCTTTTATAAGAAAATTTTATGGCTACGATGTACGTCCTGCTATTTTACTTTTTGTAGGAGGAACACCCCTAAAGGGTTATTGCGAATGTCCTGTTGGTCTTAGTGGACTTTGCTGTCATGTTTTAGCTATCCTTCTTTACCTAAAGCATTATGTGGACACAAAGACAACAATTTTAGAATTAACGTGTACACAAGTCATACAGAAATCGTATATTAAGAACTTATTGAAACATCAATTCCTCCATTAAAATTGGTTTAAATATTTAAAAATATTTTATGATAAAAATAAATAAGATAAAATTATATGCTTATATATATTCACAAAATATTACTTATTACAAAATTCTTCCTTTGGCCCAATAGGGCGCATTGTAAGCTTTACAACATGACATAACATTTTCCATGTTGAAGAAAGTAAGTCCATTCTTTGTAAAGGCCACACAGCATTAAGAATTGACCAATCACGTACGCGTCCTATGAATCTCTCTACATGAATACGGGTAGAAGCTATATCAATATTACCAGCTATGTCAGCTTGTGGGAACTGATGGCTTGATTTTTGAGATGGACGGTTTAGATATATTCCTTTTGAAGCACATAAATCTTAAATTGAAAACCCTCAATCTGCCATAATTTCGTGTTCTTTCTCAACTAGTTCTAAAATATGAGATTGTTCTATTAATTCATTATCTGTGATAGAACCAGGATATATGTCTACAAAAAGCAAACCTGATCCATGTGGAGAGATTCGAATTAAAGCTTTCCCTGTTGTACAGTTTTTATAACTTGAAAACATTAAAGTGTTTAGGTCATAATTGCTTGGTTGTTGAAATTTAAATTCAGTAGCATCCACGACAATATCAGTTTCACCATGCCCAGTTTTTTTAAAAACAGAAGGCATCATCAAGGAAATATAAGTGCTTTCAACCTTTAAATTTACCTCTGAAAATATTGCGTCTATAAATACAACCCACCCAGTGAAAATACGATACATGGTGGTTTCAGCAACACCCACCATAAATCCAATAACACCAAGATGATGTGCATGTCTGCACAATGTTAAAACTGAAAACAACTCAGTTTTCTTATCAAGGAATCTGATTCCTGTACCTTTACAATCTAAATATTCAATTAAGTAACGGTATGGATCTACGCAATTATATAAGAGTTCAAATTGCTGGATAGATAGACCACATAAATATTTAATTTGCTTTGGTTTGTCTTTAAGTTTGGAATATATAAACATTCCTTTTTCGAAATTGTCCAGTTTTTTGTTTAAATTTTGATTTCTTACAGATAAACTTAAATAATTTTTATGTAATATATCATTCTTTACTTTGTTTACTTTTTTTTTCACTTTTAAGTTGTTTTATATAGTTGTTTGCGTTGTTTAGTTTTTCTTGAAGAATTTCATAAGCATCTGCTCCTTTTTTTAATTTAGAAAACAACTGTTGTTTAGTTGGTTTACTTAATGATAAAGGAGGTTTCGTAACATAAACAGATCAGTTTGTGGGTTTTTTACGAACAAGACAAGGTTTAGACAAAGATATCATCATATCAAGCTTACGTTTCAACCTTTTCAAATTTTTTTTTTTCAGCTTCAGTCGCTTTTTGTGATGTAGTCATTTTGGTCAGAGCATTTGTGTATTTTCGTTCCATTATAGCAATTTGGCTTGGTGGTGCAGCTATGTCTGGAATATCAGTGCATAACTCTCTAATTCCAGATGAAAAATGTTCACAACAAATATGCCCATTTTTGAAATTCATTCCTTTTGTATGTAAAATTCGAATATATTCTTTCTGTAAAAAAACATCTTTAGGAAGCCTGTAAAACTTAATACGTTCTCCGTTAGTAGTTTTGCTTCTAAAGTTATTAAAACATAATGATGCGCTACAAAACCAGTGAACCATTGATTTAAGCAATACAATAAATTAATTTGATATCTTATTATAATATTTAATATCTTGTTAGTTTATAGTAAATAATAGTTACATTACCGCTAACTTATTTTTGTAACTTAAATAAAATGAACCTTTGTTTTGATTTTTATAAATTTTTTGACTCGATGATGTTAAGCACTACTATTTTTTTTAGTTGTTTAATCGAGAAAAAACTCATAATCTAGAAACCATATCTGATTGGCTAGAATTTTGTCCCTACAGGCAATATTCGCTAAGTTAAACCGCGTCGTATGATATTGGCTAATGAAAAAAAACATTAGAAAGTGGGAAAAGATTTATATATCATCAGATGGTACAAAAACCCCCTCAATTTGAGGGGGTTGCAAACTTTATATGGTCATAACTTTTAAACACTAAAATATTCTACTATGAAATTTAAAATTTCTCGTCTATTTTCAACTAGACTTATAATTAAAATTATAAGTCTAGTTGAAAATAGTACAAAAATTTCATCAACTTGTTGCTCTCGCATTTGAGGCAGGGGATGGGGTATCTTTTGAAAACTACTATTGATTGTAAATGGAAATAAATGTAAACATTAGTGTTATTTAAAACATTCTCTAATTGAAAAAAAATTAAATAATGCCAAATGATCAATTTCATAATTTTTTATTTGTCAAGATAAGTAATTTCTACTTGAGTGTTTTCATAATAATAATACACATAATTTAAAAAAAATTACGGTAATCAGAGTTTGGGAACTATATTATCCTCAAATTACGGTCCAAGGGTCCAAATAAATGTTAGGGAAGGGAACAATAATAGCAATTGAAAAAAAAACTTAATCATTATGAGCTCGACTAAATTTCATTTGAAAAATTCTCAATTTAGTAAAAAAACTTTTTTTTTTCTTTTTCTTATTACAATATATTATGGTTTAAATATCGTTGTACATTAAATATCACAACACGGAGTCTCAAAGAAGATCGTAAGATCCTGTCACTGAGAACAATTTAACAATGCAGTAAAAATATAACTAGTTAAATAATTACAATAAATGACTTTAGAAATGAAATTTAAATCTAACCAGATATTTCAAAACATAAAATAACGCTTAACAACATAAAGAATATATATAAAACTAAATATTTCAAAATAAAACAATATATTCAGGAAACACACTTTTTTAAAAGGTATAAACTCAAAAGAACTCAAAGATATTATCAATTGACAAGATTACTTTTTTCAGCTTAATTTTAAAAGTAAGAAAACTCCAACTGAGAAAAATCAAAACTTTTCAAAACTATTGTGTTCCACAAAAGTGCTCCGCTATATGTAAAAAGAAATCTTCTAAAACTTGTATGAGAATAATGTTGATGAATAAGATGCCATTTCTTAAGTCATATTTGTTTTTTTTTGCTTTATTGCATATAAATTTTGAAAGGATAAAGAGGTTAGGTTTAACTTACATTTCTACATAAATAAAAAAAACATTAAATACATTTTGCTGGTATATATTAAGAACATTCATTTCCATTAAAAGACGTCTGGCAAGAGTATAGCGATCTTTAATGTTTATTAGACGTGCTATATTCACGTCTAATAAACTTTAAAGATCGTTATACTCATGTTAGATATAGAGGATCTAATTACTTTTTTAGTTTAATTAGATCCTTTTTAGCTCAATTAGCTATCTGTTGCCGATATAGAGGATCTAATTAAACTTTTTTAACACTATCTCATGCGATATTTGCATAGTTTATATGACATTGAAGTTAAATTAATAAATGTCTATTTATAAAATTTCACGCTTTATACATTATTCCGATATTTTTTGAAACTTTATTGCGCAAAGTTTCAATATGGTTTTTCCATGTTAGATTTTCATCAATGAAAACACCAAGGAGATGTATAACTTTTGATTTTTTTATTTGAACATTGTCAATATATATTTGAAAGATATCATTTAGTAAAAGATATTTTTGGGATTTTAAATGATAATGAATTTAAATGAAATAAAGTTAATTTAGTTTTTTCCAAGTTAATTGATTTCAAATTGGATTAAGTCAAATAAACTTATTTGACTTGATCCAATTTGAAATTTTAACTAGTTCTATGTTGATTTCTTTAAATAGTGTAATGATATTTTTACCGGATAGAAAAAGATTTTTAACATCAGCAAACATTACTGTCTCTTCAAATTTGAGGCATTGTGCAGATAGTTAATAAATGAGAAAAAGATACGTCAATTTGCACAAACTGTTTACGATTGCTTAGATGGTTTTTTAGCAAATTTAATAAATTTCCGCTGATTCCATAGTTTCTAAGTTTTTGTATTAGACTTTTGATAGATCAATGAAAACTCTAAGAGAAAATTGTGATTTTTCAAAAAAATCTGCAATATTACTAGTTACATGAAGTATGACGTGTTCCGTGGAATTATTTTTTTTTAAATCCATATTGACTGGCATTTAATATTTTATTTTTAGAAAGATATTCATATATTTTGTTGTAAAGAATCCTTTCAAAAACCTTCGAAAAGCCAGAGAGTACAGATATTGGTCAATAATTAGTTATATTTGGCAATTGACAACTTTTATATATTGGTGTAACTTAAGCGATCTTTAGTTGGTCAGGAAATATTTCTTGTTTTATCGAGCAACTAAACACTTTGAAGAGTATAGTTTTTATGATCTTGTAAGATCCAATAATAATGTTACTATTTAATTCGTCCTGACCTCTCGCTTTGTTTGATTTTAGCATTTTATAAGCAAATTCAAATTTATTCATTGAAATTTCAAAATTATTAAGTACAGAAATTTTGGGAAGGGTAAAATAAGTTGTTTTGTTAGTTACAACTCCAATATTTTTTGCTAGATTAGCACCAACCGATACAAATAGTTATTTATCTGATTTGCTATATCTTTTGGATTATATATGAAATCATCACTGTTTCTAATAACTTTTGGTAAGTTGCACGTTTTAATCTTATGGTTGCCAGTGATTTCATTTAAAACTTGCCACGTGCGCTTTGAGTTATGTTTAAACTTCTCTAGTAGGTTTGAATAGCAATATTTTTTTAAGTTTTTTTTTGACTTTCAAAATTTTTAACGTGATTTTTATAAATCGCCTTATTTTTATCACTTTTTGACTTTAGATACTTAATATACAATTTTTGTCTAACTTTGGACAATTTTCTAATTTCTTTGGTAATCCATGCCGACTTAATGCTTTTTTTTTTTTTTTTTTGACATACTTCGTATAAAGGAAAGTTTGCGTCATAAACTTCAAAAAATGTTTTAAAGAACGAGTTATAAACTAGATTCGCATCAGATGAAAAATTTATATTTTTACAGTGTAGTAAAGATAGCTGCTCGTTAAACGACATTATAATTGCTTGGCTAAAACATCGTTTGAAGTAAACTTGATTTTGTTTCGGTACTAACTAAATATCAATATTTATCGAGAAAAAAAATTGGGAAATGATCTGAAGCATCGCTTTTAATTAAACCCTTTTGGAGGGACTCTTTAAAAAAGTCCGTTGTCATAATGTTATCTATTAAAGAAGCAGACATTGAAGTTACCTTTGTTGGTTTATTAATTAACTGATATGCACCGTTTTCAAATAGATCATTATAAAACCCATTAATTTTGCAATTTATGTAATATTTGAATGCGTTTAAATTTATGTCGCCAATTATGTAGTTTAATTTCTTTTGTATTGTAGTTTTTTTTATGATATCGGTAATTAAATATGACTTAAAACTATTTATTTCTCCAGTTGGTGGGCGATAACAGCAACTTATAAGTATATTTTTAGTTTTTTTAAATTTCAATTTTTAAGACTACTTTATCGGCATCAGAAATACTCAGGTTTATATATAAACTCATGTCAGGCCTATATATAAACCCCATTACTTCGCTTACATAAAAAAGTACTCCACCTCCTCGTTTTTTAGTTTAAGGGCTAAAGGTACAAGATTAAAACAAGGCAGATGGAGTTCGATTTTGCCTCATCTGAACTACACCAAGTTTCAGTTACGCATATAATGTTAAAAATATTTAAAGTTTCCTTAATATTATTCCTTAAAGTTTCCTTAATATAATTCCTAAAAACTCTTTTTTAAACTTCTTATGTTAAAATGATTAACATTTAAGTTTTAACGTTCAAAATTTTAACGTTCAAAATTTTAACGTTCAAAATTTTAACGTCCAATTTTAACGTTCAATTTTAACTTTTAATTTTCAATTTTAAACTGATTAAAGTGATTGTTCCACTAGAAGTTGTTCTTGTCATAAGGCTTGTGTAGTTTACCCAGATCTTTGCAAATGAAAATCACGGTGATAACCATCAAGAAGTGGATGATGACAACCAATAAAATGAATCATATGAGTCTGAGTCTGATAATGACAGCAACTTCCCAGCGGGCACGGAAACGTCCATATGACGTCGAAAGGACGTCTTTTTAGGACGTCCAGAACTGGTTCTAAATGGCAACGCCAGATGACGTCTTTTTAAGACGTAATTAGGACGTCTTTTTAGGACGGACTAAAGACGTGTTTTGAGACGTCTAAAAGACGTGAATCTAGGACGTTCAGAACTAGTGCTAAATGGAAACGCCGAATGACGTCTTTAAATAACCTAATTTAGACGTTCTTATTTCGACGTCTAAAATACGTGTTCTAACATGGGTTTACTTAAACGTAAGGTTCAAATTTATGTTTTTACAGAACTTCTTGAGAACAAGAAAAAAATAATAAATCATTTAAATTTTTTAATAATATAATTGTGCTGAGTTTTATAAATTACAACTTTGTAAACTTCTTCTTCCACTTGTTAATTTCCAAAAATCGAATTTTCGAACAGTTGACGCCATTCACTTTCTTTTCGATCAGATGCACTCTTTAAAATATTGCTACCAGCATTTTAAAGTTTTTTTTTTGCTGTAGGAATCAGGAAAGCAATCTTAACCTTAAAAAAATATTGTTAAAGATAAGAATGTAAAAATAAAGGGGAAAGAAACAAATAACACACACACACACACATATATATTTATTATTTTATAAACATAACATCAAACATCAAAAAATACGAATTTCTCAACACTAAATTTATTTTTTTAAAGAAATTTTTAACTGGATTGTTGTGACTAGCGTATATATTTATGTATGTCAAGTATGCAATATAATTGCGGTATTAAAAATGCTCTTTTTATAGTAAAATTATACTTACTTTGAAAGCATCCCCTTCTCAAATGCATTGCATGATGAGCCACCAACATTTAATAACTTCTATTTCTAAATTCAAAAGATAACACTAGTGTAATTGATATGGGACAATTTAGTGTAAGTTATATTGGGCATAGGAGCAATTCCTTAGTGTTTTATTCAATTCAAAAATTTTGTGTAAATTATGTTTACTTGTAAAGTGAGCATTATGTATATAATTACAGATCAAAATTTTTTATGTAATTTACCCTTATAAAAAAAAACTAAACATTTAACCATAATAAAAAATGTACTACTTTTTGCAACATTAGTATCGAGAAATGATTGATCACATTCAAGAGACTTGGCGATAGAATCATACTAGTAAAGATCAAAGCTATTCTCAACTTTAAACGTTTTTTATATTTCATTATCTTAAGATAAGTAAGTAAATGAATGAAAGCCTATATATTATAATTTATATATATATATAAATTTTAATAGAAAAAATATATCATCATATCACATTTTCGCTTCCAACAAGGCTGCGAACAACCACTATAAGAGTTTGGAAGTTATTGGAAGAGAAAAGATTAAGTTTGTAGGGCAAGATAACGATTGACAGATGACTCAAAAGATTGCAAATTATATGAATCAGGGAAGCAAGATGAAGGAAGCAAATTCCAAAGAACTGATGTTCGAAGAAAAAAAACTAGCTTTAGAGCAGTGCCAATTATAGCATTTGTAGAAAAGAGAAAAAGAAGCAACATCACGACGATGTGACAATGGTTGGAGATTGGCTGCATAAGCAGGTCCAACTATGTTTACAATGCGCTTATGCACCTTGTTTAAAAAAGAAAGGGCATCAATAGAAGATCTCCCCAGATATGGCAACAGTATTCCATATGCTAATTTTGCAATGGATTTAATATACGGTTTAAAAGAAAGATCAGAAGTAAAAGGTAATCATAGAAGGTGAAGGGTATATGACTCATCTAGTACATTACCATTCATAAATATAGGAAGATCAAAATTATTGCGATAACGATTGGCCGAAAAAAAATGAGTTTTATCTGAAATAAAGTTCACCAGCCATTGTGAGCCACATGCTGTAGCAGAGGTGAGATCCTTTTCAAGCTCAGATACCCCCTCCAAGCAATCAGAGAGTGTAGGCTTCTTATCATGACAAGAATAAATAGTAGTGTCGTCAGCGAACAATGCCACCTTAGATGTGATAATATCTGCAAGAGAGTTAATGTAAATTAAAGAGTATAGGGCCAAGGATTGAACATTGAAGAACCCCTGAGGTTACAGGATATGAAGAAGATATATATATATATATATATATATATATATATATATATATATATATATATATATATATATATATATATATATATATATATAACTAACTTAAAATTTAACTAGCTACATCTTTTGAAAGGAAATTCTTAAATGTTCTTTTTTTCTTGCTGAATTGACTAGGTACCTATTTTGAGTATTGAGAAGTATTAAAAAAATTAATTTATAAAGATAAAAGGCCTAAATAGTTAAAATAACTTCCAAGATAGTTATTAGAAGAAAAAATATTACTTACATTACTCTTTGTAAAACTTTAAGATTTATCATTGACTTCATATATTTTCTTTAACTTTGTTTTGGGAAAAGCGAAATTTTGAATCACAGACTTTCAAATTTTGGAGGAGCTGAATGAATTAAAGAAGTTTTTACTAATAAAAATTCATTAGGCATATTACATAAAATAAATTATATTACATTAACCATTACATAAAATGAACTATAGCCAAAACCTTGTTCTATTTTTTTAAAACCGAAGGCAAAAATAAAAATGAACTTTAGAGTTAAATACATTTAACCAAATAAAATTTCTAACAAAATTAGATACAAAAACTACAAACACATCAATTCTAGATTCCTAAATGCATATTTAAATAAATGCAATATGAGTTTTTGAAATACAAAACAAAAATGTAACATATTATTACCAAATACAAACATGTATTTGACCGAAACATATATATCAACTGACACTTGATGTAGTTGAGGCTCCTAAAAATAAAATCTTAATTAACAAGTAAATAAAACTTATGGATAAAGTAAAAAATATTCTTACAAGTGTTTTTTTTTTAGCATTAGCATTTTTTTTTTATTTTTTTTTTTTTATTTTTCTGTTCAACTTTATATTGTATCTAATTGATGTTTCACACTATCTATTTCTAAACTTTAACTAATACTACAAATTCTACTAATTTTAACTAATAATAACTAAATTTTAGCAAAACTCATTTTTATTTTATTTGACATATATTTTGTATTTTTACTAATAAAACTGACGCTATAAGTCAGGATTTTAAAGAGACATTTTTCTATTATTTAAAAAGATTTGGTCACGAAAGTCAATTTTTTGAAAGAAAAAATAGCAGAATTAAGGAGAAAATAACTACATTGAAAACAGAATCTTATTTTTTTCAATAAATTTAAAATAAAAACAGATAAATTATTATAAATTACCATATTACTTTTATACACACACACACACACATATATATATATATATATATATATATATATATATATATATATATATATATATATATATATCTATATGTATATATATATATATGTATATATATATATATATATATATATATATATATACATATATATATATATATATATATATATATATATATATATATATATATATATATATATATATATTTATACATATACATAACCTTTGGAATTTGGGTCGGCATGCAGCAATGCCAACCTAAAAGTGTTTGAGGTCAACAAATAATGCTGACCTTGTTTCTATGTTTAATGGTAAGACTTTTGAATCACTTTTTTGATTGATGTCGACAAATTATTGTCAACCTTTTTTTTCTTTATTCCAAGGGTTGTGTGTATACATATATATATGTGTATATATATATATATATATATATATATATATATATATATATATACAATAGAAATATAGGTTTGCAATCAATCAAAGGACTATATAATTTCTTTAATAATAAGTATAATCCATTTACTTTAATAAAATTTCCTAGATGATAAAAAAAAACGAGAAATTAAGGAGTGTTTCTCATCGGTTACTTAGTAAATTGCCAATAAAATTCCAACATGTGATATAGTGGTTATTCATATGTTAATACAGTTATATAAGAGACAGGTGTGTAGAAAATTTCCTTTAGAGTAAAGGAAATTTTCTACCCTCCTGTATATCATATACCCAGTTTTTAACTATTTATTTCAATATCTGTATCAATTTCAATATCTGTATCAATTTCAATATATGTATCAATTTTAATACGATTCTCAAGTAATTAAATGTTTAAAAATATATAAATTAGCAAGAACCTGTCTTTAAGTCACTTTTCATAAGGTGCTTTTAAAATTCTCCTTGAATCTTTGGGAAGTTCCAAACCTTGATTTGGCAATATTTCAAGAAGATCATTAACTAATGTACTGGTTCCATTATAAAATAGCATAATGTTGTCGAGTAAAGACATTGAATTCAAAGAATTATTAGTATAATTGTTCCATGATCATTAACAGGTTTCCCTATTGAAAAATTCGATTCTGCATGAGATGTCTAAATCTTATTGTTAGAACTTGGTTCTTGATACAGCAATACTATACTAATAGTATATCAAGTATATATATACATAGTATAGCATATATTCAGTTTTAAACCGTTTCTTTCATTATTTGTAAAAATTTCATTAACTGCATCAATATTACCACAATTTTCAATTGATAACAAAAACAAAAATTAGATGGAACGTGTTAGATGAACTATTAGTTGTCGTAAAAAGACTTCTTTTGTAATTGAAAAAAAACTTTATTAAAAATGCGTTACTTAAAAATTTTATGAAGTTTTAGCGCTTGCGTGATTTAACTGATTTTTTTTTATTTAATAAAGCATTCTGGATATTTTTTGGACGAAAAAATTATTGGACGCGAATAAGACGTTCAAAAGACGTTTAGAATTTTAATGGGACGGACAGACGCGATTTGAACGTCCTAAGGACGTCTTTTTTACGTCCTGTGCCCACTGGGTTAGGTTAAATTAATAAATTGTAATAAAAATCATTTGTTATTTAACATTTTTTGATTTTGAACTGCAAGGTAAACATCATTTGTTATCTAACATTTTTTGATTTTGAACTGCAAGATAAACATCAGTGGCAGTAGTATATATAAGAAATTACAGTCCTCTTTTAAAACATTGCATAAAAATGGCATATGGCAAGTTCGTTACCTAATATTTAGTTTCATAATTATTATAGCGAGTTTAGTGCTGCAATGGCGCAGTGGTTAGAGCGCTTGCTTTATAAGCAGGAGATCCAGGTTCGAAACGAGCTTTGGACATTTCGCGTCACGATAAGGAAGGAGGCATGAATTTCCTGGTTAAATACACTTCTGCGGTACTCTATGACAAGACCGTTTGGACATTTTGGGGCACCTAAAATAACAAATTACAAAAAAATAAAGCACAAAACTTTGCATGGATTCATTTTCCGCAGTATTACCCATATTTTAGTTTGAATATGAAATAAAAACTTTTTTTCTTTTCAAGATTTTTAAATGACAATCATGAGGATTCTCTTAAAGTTAAACTAATTTTTTTTAATATTACATATGTTTGATGATGTTTGACGTCTATATTCATATATATATATATATATATATATATATATATATATATATATATATATATATATATATATATATATATATATATATATATATATATATATATATATATATATATATATATATATATATATATATATATATATATATATATATATATATATATATATATATATATATATATATTAAGACGTAATTCATATATATATATATATATATATATATATATATATATATATATATATATATATATATATATATATATATATATATATATATATATATATATATATATATATATATTAAGACGTAATTCATATATATATATATATATATATATTATATATATATATATATATATATATATATATATATATATATATATATATATATATATATATATAAATATATATATATATATATATATATATATATATATATATACATATATATATATATATATATATATATATATATATATATATATATATATATATATATATATATATATATATATATATATATATGTATATATATATATATATATATATATATATATATATATATATATATATATATATATATATATATATATATATATATATATATATATATATATATATATATATATATATATATATATATATGGCGGACCTGTACACAGTGCACCCCGAACTCGGTGAAGTTTGTGAACAAACTCGGTAAAGTTCGAAACGATAACTTTACCGTTTTATGATTGGATAATATTAACGAATAAAAATTTAACATCTAAGTTTTCAATGGATCTTTTCTCTTAAAGCAATACATTATGGTATTTGTATGGTATATATATATATATATATATATGTATATATATATATATATATATATATATATATATATATATATATATATATATATATATATATATATATATATATATATATATATATATATATATATATATATATATATATATATATATATATATGTATATCAGGGTGGCCAGCGGTCCTTAAAAATTTAGAAATGTCCTCGAATTTGATAGGTCCTGGAAAAACACCTCTTTTAGTAATAAATCCTGGAAATCCTTTAACTTTTTTCTGAAATACTTCAATATTTAATTATAATGTTTTTACCTTTTACAGAAATATTAATAATATTGCGTAGATTTCTATTGAATTTATTAATTATGTGTTTTCTTACTTTTTTTGTTAACTGTTACTATCAGTATTATTAAAACCTAGTAGTTATTAAAAATGTATATATAACAAATATAATGCTAATACAAAGCTGTTCTGTTTGAAACCTGTCATTTTCAAAAAAAATAGCTATACAACAAAAAGTTAACAAAAGTTCTTCTTGGATAAAATTTTATGTTTCAAATTCTAAAAAAAGGAAGCTATAGTTGGTGGAGAACGGATATTATTATTTTTAACATGTGACTATCTGTCTCGGATTCTCATCCATTTATGTAAAAAGCATAAATTTAATGCAAGGCACATAATGCAGCAGAAGAAGGTTAAAAAGTTGAAAAAAAGTATAAAAGTAAGAAAAGAATAAAAGAACACGTGATAGAGAATAACATTGCGTTAATGTTCAGGAAAAATTTTTTAGTTTTTTAGAAAATAAATGTTTTTTTGATTTCTTCCTTTACGGGTTACTTTACTTTTTTATTTTAATTTAAGTTTTTTTTATTTTTATTTAAATACGTTTTCTTGAATTTCGGAATGCTTCTAGCAAATTAATTGGCCGTGTTTTATCAGTTAATTACATAAAAGTTTTCCTAATTTAAAAAATTTTAATCTTGTTACGAAGGCAAAACTAATTGGAGCTTGAATGTAGAATGTCACATTTTTCTTTAAGAGCGTGCTTCAATTTAAATGAAATATTCAAATTCTCTGATTATTCTTAAATAGCACAATAGCATTAAATTTTGCATTTAGTTTACCAAAGATTGAAGTAGATAAATCAAATAACCAACTAGAAGTAGACCATATTGACATAGAAACAGTACTGAAATGCTAAGTTCTCTTCATTGTTGACCAGAAGAGAAATTAGAATTTAAGAAAGAATGTAGGTTATCATAATGTTATTGTAAAACTTACAAGAAAGATGCTCATTGAAGTATTCTTTTAAGAGGAATGCTTTATCTTTGTTTCCAAATACAATGGTTTAAAACAAGGAAGTATCAACTCCGAAATTCAAGGGTCTTGCTGAGAGATTAAGTGCATTAAATTGGCTTTCAACTGACGATGCAGATGCTGCAAAACAACAATTTGATGAACAGAATGTCCCAGTAAGCACATGAACGTTTTTAAAACGTTTTTTTAACTAAGAAAAAAAACGTTTATTAAACGTTCAGAATGGCAATACCTAAAAAACGTTTTTAAAAAAGCGTTTAAAAAACGTTCTCAAATAACCTAAATTAAACCATAAAAAAACGTCTTTTTAACCTTTAAAAGACGTTACTTTTCAGAAAATATTCCTAAGTCCATAGGGACTATTATTAAATTGTTTGAAAGAACCTGTTGGTTAAAAAAACAAGAAAAATAAAAAATTTATTTAAAAAGTTATTTTTAAATTTATTTTTTAAACAATTTACAAACAAAGTAATATTGTAACGATGATATCCCCAGTAAGCACAGGACGTTTTTAAAACGTTTTAATTCCGTTCAATTTACGGTCGGACGTTAAAAGAACCAATACGATCGTTTTTAAAACGTTTTTTTGCAAACGTTTTTTTTAATGTTAATTTAAACGTTTTTTTAGCGTTTTTTAAACGTTTTCTTTTTTTTATTAACTTACGAAATTTCTCAGTTAGCTTACGAACGTTTTTAAAACGTTTTTTTAACGTGATAAAAAAACTTTTTTTAAACGTACAGCACGGCAATATTTAAAAGAGTATGTTTACTCAAATAATGGCGTGACCTTCGATTAGGCGAATTGATTTATTTAAGTAAAAATTATATAAATTAGTATATATTTAAATCAACCAAGTGTTTGTATTGTTTTTTTTGTAGAATTAAATTTGAAAATATATTGGAGTATTTTTAGTTTAAAGTTGTATGCCTTCGAGTGACTTACTTCAAAATGTCATTTTAAAGTTTTTTATTCTTTAATGATATTCTGGTGTTATTACCAAATGTTTAGCAGTATGAAACCTATAATATTATATACCATACTATATACCCTATTTTACTTATAAAGTTAATAATCTGTAAAGTAATTTGTAAAAATTTTTTAATTGTAAAATTGCTACATGAGAAGACAAGTTGTTAGATGAAATTCAAATATTCTCTATGTTTGTGTTGTGTAGGTCAAAAAATAATAAACAAAGATGATATTGATTGTGATGACCAAGAGATTCATTTTAAGACACATCAATCTTCATCATCTTTAAATAAAAAGGATAAACATTATGGATTTCCATTATCTCAAGCAAGTAAGTCTTTAGTTAAAAATAATAATGTAATGTTTGTTGTAAAATGCTTACATGACTATCAATATTAAAAATATCATTAAAACGATGAGGTTCCAATTTTAACTTTAAATAATCACCTTCATGAAATCCATTATTTCAATATTATCAAAACTATAAATCTATGGAACAATCTTTCTTGTCTAATCCGAAATCTGAGAAAAAATGCTAATATATATAATATAGCATTGCCACTATTAGGTATTTTACTGTCTATTAGTTTTTCTCTGATTTAGGCTTAGACCAGTAAAGTTGTTAAATTGTTAAATTTTTGTATTTTAAATTTATTTACGTAGTTTAGTTAAGACAATGTAAAATTTAATTAGTGTAAATTTGTTTAGACTTTCAATATTATGTGTTGCTTCTCTTAAATGAGATAAAAACCCAAGGATGCAAAAAACTTAATATAAAATAGTGTGAAGAAAAAGTAGTAACTGAAATAAACAGCATAATAGAATTTGATAAGTTTGACTCAGCACTTGACAATGTTTCATCTAGTAACTCAGTAGTATCTCTGCAGTTGTAAATTGCTAAATAGTGATTTGACAGATTTTTCTTTTTTTTTTAATTTTCTTTACAATATATAATTTTTACTACTTAATTAGGAATTGTCAGATTTCCATTATTTCTCTCTATTAGAAACAAAGAGTTCAAAATATTAGTGGTAAGAACTGTCAAAAACTTGTGATAGCTATGATGAAGAGGTTAGTAAATTAAAAGTGCATTCCTATAAATACTCTGTTTAATTTTATAGTGATATTACTCCCATCTTACAATCCATTATACAAATCCCATGCATGGCTCTACGTTAGCCGTTTTACCATAATGGGATGACTGAATAACCGCGAATTTTATACGCGCAAACTAGCACATGTGCGAAACAGTTACAAAAACTGGCACAATGCCAAATGGCATAAGTGCAAATGGGCATAATTGCACAAAAAGAATTCCAAACATTGGCATAATTGCAAACTGCTATAAGTGCAAACTGGCATATGTTTAAATTGGCATAAGTGCGCTAAATAGATTTACAAACATTCGCATACGTGTGAATTGCCATAAGTGGGAACTGGTATAAGTGTGAAGCAGTTGCAAAAACTCGCAAAAGTGCAAACAACATAAATGCGAACTGGCATAAGTGTGCCAAATAAATTTGCAAAATTTAGCATAATTCCAAACTGCGAATTTATTACACGCATTTATGTCAGTTCGCACTTCTGTAGTTTTTGCCTATTCGTATTGTTTGCTAACCTGTTTGGCGCACTAATGCCAATTTACACTTTTACCAGTTTGCAAGTTTAAAGCTATAGGTTATACTATAGCTTTAAACTTTAGTCCAGATAATTCTTTTAACCCAGATAATATTCATATATATGACTACACTAATGGTTAGTGTACACTTATGATCTGGACTATATTAATGGTTAGAGTGCTATTTTTTAAATAATAGATTAGATTTAATTAATAGATAAACTGTATCGTTAAATTAAAATCTTAATGTTTAATTACATTTAGATTTTATGGAAAAAAAGAAAAAAATTTTAAATACAGTAGTTAATTATAATTTCATAAATTATAAGATATAATATTATTAAAATATATTATTTTTAGATTTATGACAAATTCGCTCATGGCCAAATCTAATATGGCAGCTGGAAAAGGCAAAGGATCTTTTTAGCCTAACTAAGCTATACAACTTAATAAAAGGTACGTTTATATATATATATATATATATATATATATATATATATATATATATATATATATATATATATATATATATATATATATATATATATATATATATATATATATATATATATCATGGCCTACTTGAATTACACGGCCTGATTTGTTGCATTTTCTGTAAAAAATTAAGAGGCCAGTTTTTTTACGGCTCAAGTATAAAAAACTTCATGTTATGGTTAAGAGTCTTGTTTGCACTATAATTGTTTTATTTTTATTTAATTAAAATGGTTTAATAATAGTTAGATTTTCTTTGAGTACTTACATTATTTTGTGCTGGATTTTCTGTTAACTGATTGCCTGCTTCAGTTTATTCCAACAACACAGAATACTGAAATAGGCTTTCAGATAACTATATCAACGCATACCAACATGCTACTAAAAATAATCTTTCATGTTGCTAAGATTGCCTAAAACTCTCTATTGAACAAAAAAAAGGTTTGTACTTTTGTATTTTTTATAATTGAAATTAAAAGAAGAAATTTTTGTTAGAAATGTTTATTTTGTCATTGTCTTTTTTGGAATTCTTTTACTTGACCTTTTCTCAATGAATATGTAATTTTTTATTATAAAAAATATTGTTAACAATACGAAATCTATATTTGATTCCCCATTTTTGGTGGTTTTTATTTGTAAAATTAAAACTCCTAGATCAAATCTTTAAAATTTGTTTCACAAATTTTTAATTGAAATAGAATGACTGCAATGTTTCATTAGAGAAATAACATAAAATACTAAAAAGATGACAAATAAAATTAGACAGAGATTGAATTGAATATATAGGTTCTTCTCTTTATAAAGTAACGTTTATTGATCATAAGTTTTAAATTAAAATCTTTTTGTTAATTTTTACCATTATTACTTGCTTTAGTATATATATCTGTGCTATCTTCAGAAAGCTGACAGTAGTATTTATGTAGACAACTAAGAAATATTTTGCATAATATTTTTTAAGGATTATCAAAATTCTGATAAATATTTACTGAGAAAATCTGCCAAAATATTTTTACTAATGCATATTTTTAAAAGACTCACAAAAAGTCTACTACTGGTCATTTAACTATACTTACTAAAACCTAGCTTTAAAGGATCACTTTTTAAATTAGAACTATAAACAAATGTAAAGCCTTCTTTAAGGAAATCATGCATAAGAAATACAATTACTTTTAGTGTTGTAATTAGAGCACAAGAAGTTTGTTTGGTTAATGTAAAGTATTTATCAAATTTTATTTTGATCAAATTTCAGTACAATTTGCAATTTCTCTATAAAGTGTGGGTTTGTTATCACCTTTCAAAGCAACACTGCTGAGTTTGATTGGATGAATTAAGTTTCTGCTTTGAATTAAGTATGATAAATAACTTATAAAACAATGATAAAAATTGTGCTGCGTTATTTCTTTCAGAAAAATAACTCTAAATTACAGCTGCAGTTGTTTCGTCAAATATTTTCAATGTTGACAACTTGTTTGTTGTTTCCAAAATATGTGACTTGATAATTAATTTTTATTGCTTTTTCTTGCCTGTTTAATAATTGATCTTTTAATAAACTTTAAGAAATATATTCCCTGTAATGTAATCAGCAGTAACTTCAACAAGAAGAAAAAAACAAAAACCGAGAATAACAAGTATGTTTTAAACACTCCTTTTCTAAACTAAATGATAAATTAATACTTTTCCATCCCCAGTATATGCTTTATTAAACTACAAAATG